GTGACAGGCAGACATGGTTCCTGGGCACACATCCGGGGGCCTTGCCTCTCTGGTCAGGGTGTAAATGGCAGTGTGGGAATTTCAGCAATGTTCTTCCGCAATGGAGAAGACAAATATGACCAGAAAGCAGGCTGGTTTGTTCCTCAAGTTTTTCTGCCTCATCCATCCTGGGGCTTCCACCCAAGAGTTTTACCTTGTTTAGCTGTTGCTTGTCAGCGAAGACTGTTTAGAGGAGATCAGTGTGGGATGTGTGCAGCACTATGTAACAGCTGGGATATTATGCAAGAACATAGCATTTCTTTAGTGAAAAACATTGTGAGAAGAGCTTTCCTAAGGCAGAATTATGGTAGTAGTGTAAGTATTCTGAGATAATGTTAGAATGTAAGTAGTGTGAAATGTTGGAGACACACCAAAAGGAATAAGGTAATAAGTCAGCTAGTGACTTGTAAAGCTGTTATCATGTGATTGCTGTTACACAGTTCTAAAGCGGGACAAGGAACATCCGTGGGGACATTGAACTTCATGCCATGAGTAAAGCTGATGCATAGTAGATATCTACTACAGAGAGTACCAGGCTAAGACAAAGGTGGCATGTACCAGAGAGATACATAGGATTAGATGAAATTTCACTCATGCCACTTACGTGTCTGGTGATCTTGATTGAGCACCTTGAATAACTTCTGTAAACCTCCATTGTTCCTGTCTTTAAGAAGGATATATATCTTGATATCTTTGATATCTTTCAAATATTGTGAGAGGTAAAAAATGAAAGGATGGGTCGAAACCACCAGCAGCACAAGGCCGGTAGAGGCCATTGTTCTCACAGCTTCATGTGCTGTGAGAATAATGGTCATTGTGATTGTCACTGCCGCTGCTGCTGTTGGAATGATCAACATTATTTTCACAGGACCAAGACTCTATAGTTTGTCCAATTTGATGTACTCCAAGTGTGTGTTAAGAGAGAGGCAAGATTCTGCCATATGTGTGTCACATTGCGTTTATTCTTGGAGTTTGCTTTATATGCTGAGGATTAAAGTATTGAAAGTCAGGATCCCAGGTTTTCAAAATCAGTGAGAATACTAGAAGACAGATATGAAATGTTGAGTTCTACATCCAATCCCACACTAAATTCAATTTCCTGATTCAGTGTTTCCCTGGGTCCACGACTGAGGCCCTATCCTATTAATCTTCACTCTTGAGTTCAGAGAGAAGGCCCTGGTTGCCCAATCTGGGTGTTGGCAGATGGCAGAGAAGACAAGAGTGGTGGGCTGTAAGGTGTGAGAGGTGTGAGAGGTCGATTGCCTCACTTCACACTGCCATCTGTAACATTCAGGTACCTCCCGAAGCAGCATAGATTTGTAAAATGAGTATTTTTCAGTCATATGATAGCATGATCAATCATCATATCTTTGCCAGGTTTTTTTTTTAGCTTCTGGGAAAAATCTCACAAGGGAATAAGATTCATTTGAGAACAAGGCAGATGCCAGCCGTGAGCTGCTTGACATAATTCCCAAAATGCCCATCCCCAGAATAGGGAAGAACGAATGTGACCATTTTCTGCTTTAGCAGGTGAGGGAGCCAGGGTCCTTTGGCCAGTGCGTGGGACAGCCAGGCAGGAGAGAGCCAGCTGGAATGACTCAACTTCACCTTGGAGCAGCCAACCCAGGAGTCTGCCACCCACAAACCATCACGCTTTCTACTGCCTCATGGATCACCCATTCCATGTTTTCCTGAAATTGGCTCCTCTTCGCCTAAATTTGTTTTTTAAATTAACTTACTTACCCACCATATATTGAGAATAATCCATAAAAAGAAAAGGAGTCAGTGTTATTAACTAGCTGGCTACCTGCAGCAGGACAAGGAATCAGAGAACTGGTTAAGGAATCCAGGGAGCTTCTTTGACCTAATCAGGACTGTGCAAGAGCTGGACACAGGTGGATTTCCTTAGGATCCGTGTCAGTGCCACCTCATGCAGTGGCCCCTCTTTGCTGAAGTTATCCTGCAAACTGTCACTTATAGAGGCCCCAGTTTGGGAAACTGCATCATATCCCTTAGTCAAGTGTCTGCTTTTCAGTCCTTGGTAATTCCTGGTTCATAGCATCAGTTATTCTGTTCCCAGAGTCCGCTTGGGTGTGTAGAGTATTCTATAAATAAACAACACCAGTGGGGCAAGGAGGAGCCGCCCGTTTAAAGGAAAGCTGGGTCAAATTCTTTGTCAAGTGAAGGATGTTGTAGCGATAGAAATAATTGCCCTTTCTTTATCTGCTGAGAAGAGCCTTGTAGTCCTAAAGCTCTGTGCATCCTTGTCAAGGAACATCTACAGGACTCTCTGTAATCAGAAGCCCAAGCCTTGCTAAATGGATCGTGCAGGTAGGACACTCTTCATTGAAAAATTTATCCTGCCCTGTAAGAGGAAGACAGAGCCAGATGAGCCCTTCTCCAAAACTGCCTGTGACACTCACCCGGAGCAGGCTCTGAACGTGATGGTCACTCTCAGTTCAAGACTTCCAGCTGCTCCAGGCTCAAAGTCTATGATTTATTTAGCTGTGGGCATAAAATGCCCTGATTCCTCTTCCAAAGGAACACTGTGCCATTAACTTCCTGTGGTTTGGGAATCAGAATACACTGTGGCTCTTGGCAGTTTTAAAGGATTCAGGTGATACAGAGGTGCCTACTTAGAAGTGAAAGTGCCCATGATGCCAACTCATTTGCACTGCACAGTGTTGAGATTGGGCAGATTGCCTTCCCTTTGTGATGAATACACTTCGTCTTTGAAGAGGCCCCAGGCAGGGTATGTTGTTTAAGATTATCTGTTTATCTGAAAGGCAGAGTTAGAGAGAGAGAGAGACAAAGAGCAGTCTTCTCTCACTAGCTCACTTCCCAGATGACCACACAGCTAGGATGGAGAAGGCCAAAACTAGGAGCCAGGGGCTTCTTGCATTTCTCCCAAGTGGGTACAGGGGCCAAGCACTCAGGCCATCTTCCACTGCTTTCCGTGAGCAGAGAGCTGAACTGGAAGTGGAGTTGCTAGGATTTGAACCAGTGCCTGTCTGGGATGCCAGAATTGTAGGTGGTTGCTTAATTCACTGCTCCACTATGTCAGCCCCAAGCAGGGTATATTGTACCCAGTGATTCAGGTGAGACTCCTCCAGGGAGTTTTATAATTCCTGAAACAGGATGAAGGGCAGTTCCCTTAGAGCATCACTGGGAACAGTTGTCCCTAAGGTAAACCAAACAGGGCTGAGCACATTTTGTAACTTTGCTTTTCATCAATCTGCTATGCCTTTTTTGCATGCTGTTCTGTAATGGGCTCTGAGAAAGAACACATGCGTGTCCCTGCCCTCAAGGGCTTCTGTTCCAAAAGGAGAAGGAAGCCGAAGCCAATGATTTAACTTAGCTTGTTATGACTGAGAAGCCAAGAGGGCCACTGAGTCAGGAACAAGGCGAGGGGTTGTGACCCTTGCATGGGGGCAGCTTTCATCACTGCAAACTCGGGACACCCCAACAGCACACGTGTGTAACCCATCTACATGTGTGCCTATCTGCATGTCTAGACCCTGGGGGTCTTGTTTCGCCAACTCTCTAGGAGAAATGGAGCGCTGCCACCTTCTCGAATAAATTAGGCAGTCACTAGTGAAGAGAGCAGAAACGCTCTTGAAAAAAAAGATGAGACAAAGAACTGGGTACAAAGGGCATGTGTCCAAGTCAGAAAGCTGCTTTGTAATCACAACTCAACAACTCTGTGACCTTGGTCAAGTTCGTTAATCTCTCTCAGCCTTAAAGCGGTACAACACCCACCTCACCTGTTTGACGAGGCTGATGTGCTTGCCGTGTCAAGTGTAGGAAAATTACAGCCTCTAGACCAAGTTTAGTCTGCAGCCTGTCTAGAAATACAATTTTATTGGGGACACAGTGATACCGATTCATTCCACATCATTTGTGGGGCTTTCTCACTGTAATGCCAGATCGACCAGCAGTGGCGCTGCCTCTGTGGTCCCCATACTCACACATCTATCCACTGGCCCTGCACAGTGGTGTCGTCCCTTGTGTGCTGTGCTTGTAAGGTCTTGCTGGGCTTTCCTGTATTCATTATAACATTGAAATACTTTATCAGTGTGGGGAGTGTTGTACAGAGGGTTAAGCCACTGCTCAGGATGCCCACCCCCCCATCTCATATCAGTCCTGGTTCCTCCCTGCTAATGTTTCTGGGAAGGCATACCCAAGTATTTGGGTCCCTCCCACCCACATTGTAGACCCATAGGAATTATTGGACCCTGGCTTTAGCCTGACCGAGTCTTACCTGATGTGGCCATTCGTGGGGAATGAACACATGAATGGGAGATACTTTTCTCTCCTCTCTTCTCTGTCTCTCACACCGTCTCCCCCTGTCTCTGTCACTCTGTCTTTTGAATTAATAAAAATTTTAATTAACAAGATTACGTCACTGAAACAGTAGTATTATCTAATACCCAGTTCTTTGTAAAAATTTTACCAGTTGTCCCAACAATGTCCCTTATAGTTTTGGTTGTTGTTGCTTTTATCTAGTCCCCTATCAAATAAATAATAAATAAATGAATACATGTATCTTTTATGGTTTGAAAGGCAGAGAGTGAGAAAGAGAGAGAGAGCAATCTTCTATCTGCTGATTTACTCCTCAGATGTCTGAGACAGCCAGGGCTGGGCCAGTCTAGAGCCAGAAACTCCATCCGTGCACTTGGACCATTATCTGTGGCTTTCCCAGGTGCATCATCAGGAAGCTGAATCAGAAACAGTATCCAGGGCTGGAGTTAGCACTCTGATGTGACAGCATCACAAGCTCAACATGCTGTGCCAAAACGCTGACTCCCACTAGTTGCCCCTCCCTCAAGGATATACCTGCTATTTTTTTCCTCCTAGTTCTTTTCCCCTCCCTGTATTCTTCACTTCTCTTTTGATCTGTGTTTCTTCACCCTGCCCCCTAATATGGGGCTTCAGTGCCATCCTTCTCTCTGCCCTTGCAGGTTTCAGCCCACCTTGAAGAACAGGATGGATCTGGACGTGGTTAACATGTTTGTGATCGCGGGGGGCACTCTGGCCATCCCAATCCTGGCGTTTGTTGCCTCATTTCTCTTGTGGCCTTCGGCGCTGATCAGAATCTACTATTGGTGAGTTCATTTTACGTCTGGCCTTCTCAACAGTATTCTAATATGGTCATCTTCTCAGCTTGCTCTTTCTGTTATTGCTATTTGACATTTCGCCATGGGTGATTTCAAACACACAGAAAGCTGGAATCTGGGGGATGTTCTTGAAGAATGGGCCAGAGCTGCTCACGGGCAGGTCAGGTCTGTCTGGTCTCTGACGGTACCTCTGCCCTTGAGGACACCCTCGTTCCTGCAGCCACCCATTCTGTCTGCAGACAGGAATTCTGCATGTGTATGAGAATGCCTTTGGCATTTTTGTGATCACTGGATTCTGACCCAGTGCGGTCATGAAGGGTGATGTCACTGAAAAAGAAATGACAGACACCAGGACCATTGTGAATGACTGGTGTAGAGCACAACACTTTTAGAGTTGTTCTAGAATTACCATTACCACTTTACAGTTAGTAACTAATTTTACTAACTTTACATGAAATTTCCAAAGTATCTCTAATCTCTTTCTTGCACCATTTTCATGATTCTTTCCTTATCCGCATAATATCTACACTTTCTTTTTTTTTATTTTTAAAGATTTATTTTATTTTCATTGGAAAGGCGGATATACAGAGAGGAGAGACAGAGAGGAAGATCTTCTGTCCGATGATTCACTCCCCAAGTGAGCGCAACAGTCGATGCTATGCCAATCCGAAGCCAGGAGCCTCTTCCTTGGGCCGTCCTCGACTGCTTTCCCAGGCCACAAGCAGGGAGCTGGATGGGAAGCAGGGCCGCCGGGATTAGAACCGGCGCCCATATGGGATCCCGGGCGTGCAAGGCGAGGACCTTAACCACTGCACCACCGCGCCGGGCCCAATATCTACACTTTCATGTTTTCTTTGGAGTGAGTCACTTTAAAAAAAGTCACTTAAAAAAATATATATATATGAAAGGAGGAGAGACAGCGAGAAAGATCTTCCATCTGATGGTTCACTCCCCAAGCAGCCACAATGTCTGGAGCTGAGCTAATCTGAAGCCATGAGCTTCTTCTGGGTCTTCCACATGGATGCAGGGTCCCAAAGCTTTGGGTCATCTTCGACTGCTTCCCCAGGTCACAGGCAAGGAGCTGGATGGGAAGCGGGGCTGCCAAGATTAGAACCAGTGCCCATATAGGATCCAGCACATTCAAGATGAGGATATTAGTGGAAACAATGATATTACCCACTTTCACCCTGTAGCCCTTGGCTCTTTGTACCCTAATAAACTAACATTATTTAAAAAAAAAATAAGGATATTAACCATTATGCTATCGGGCTGGGCCCTATTTTTTCATTTTTATTTGAAAGAATGTTATAGAGAGAGGAGGAGAAACAGAGAGAAAGAACTTCCATCCACTGGTTCATTTCCCAAATGGCTACAGTGACTGGAGCTGGGCTAATCTGAAGCCAGAGGCTTCCTCTGGGTCTCTCACATGGTACAGGGATCCAAGGACTTGGACCATCATGCACTGCTGCCCCAGGCCATTAGGGAACTGAATTGAAAGTGCAGAAGCCAGGACTTAAACCAGCGCCCATACAAGATGCTGGCACTGCAGTGGAGGCTTTACTTACTACGTCACAGAACCAACCCCAGGGTGAGTCACTTAAGGAAAAAAAAAAATGCCTTGGGGCTGGTGCAGAGGTGTAGCAGTCTAACCCTGCAGCTGTGGTGCTGCATCCCATGTTGGCATTAGATACACCACTTCCAGTCCAGCTCCCTGCTAATAGCTGGGGAAGAGTGGAGGATGTTCCAGTGCTTGGGTCCCTGCATCCACATGGAAGACCCAGAAAGAGCTCCTGGTCCCTTTTTGGATCAGTTCCGCCACCACATTGCAGCCATTTGGGGAGTGAACCAATGGATGGAAATATGTCTCTCTCCCTCCTTCTCTCTGTCTCTCCTTCTCTTTCTGTGTATCTGCCTTTTAAATAAAAATAAACCAACCTTTAAAAATGTGTAAAAATACCTTAAAACACTTTATTTAAAAAGTGACACAAAAAGGCATTTTAGCCTAGCAGTTAGATGCTGGATAGGGTATCTGTGTCTTGCATTGCAGAACCAGGTTCAGCTTCTGACTCCTCACTCCAGCTTCCTGCTATCATGTGCCCTGGGAGGCAGTAGGGGTGGCTCTAGTAGTTGGTCCCTGCAACCCACATAGGGGACTTGCATTGTGTTCCTGGCTCTAGGTTTTGGCCTGGCTCAGTCTGAGCCACTGTAGAAGAGTGACCGGTGGATGGGAACTCTCTTTCTCTGATTCTCTGTCTTCCTTTCAAATAAATGAATTTCAGAGAGTTGTTTTTAAATGTCACAATTTTAAGCAGAAAGCTTGCCGTGCCTACCATAAGCTGTAAATGTACAGAAGTAAAAATAAACACAGTGGCATTAAGCAGTCTTACTTAATTGTGTCCCAGATACTGTTGCCTACCAGAAGCTCAGCTAAGCTCAGCGCCTCCTTTCTCTTTGTTACAAACAGTAAGAGAGGCAGGAAGCCAGGGCAGCCTGAATGCATGAAGCCTTCTTGATGGAGCAAGAGAGGTAACCATTGGAAATAAGATGACCTTCTTGTGAAATTCCCTATTGCCTTCTCACGCTGCAGTCCCTTATGATCCCATCCCCTCTCCTTTGCTCCTGCCAGCCTCATGTGGCAGAGGAGTGCTACCACAGCCCCACCCTCCTCTGCTGTGGAACAGCCCACTGAGACTCCGCCAGGGCCTTGGGCAGTCAGGAAAAATGCCTGGACACAGATAAAGAGAAAGCTTGGGAGGTCATGGGGTCTTTATCTGCCCTGCTTTCTGGCTCCCTTTTGTTTCCTTGGATTGTGGAATTTTCCTCCTGCCAGCTGGGCTCTAAGCCTTGAACAGAAGCTAATTGAGTGCAAGAGAACTTGACATCGTTTTTCATCTTTTCTTTCTCTTGCTCCCCGGGAGGCAGGGACTGGTGGGTGACAACCACTTCAGGGAGTCTCCCAGGACCCAACTCTGCACTGCCAAAACTAGGCATGCAAACTATTGAAATGCTATCGTTCTTGTAGTGCTGGTAGCTGGAGCCCTGTGCTTTGGGGCTGAGGCTGCAGCGTGACCCATCACCGCCCCCCCCCCCCCGCGCCCTGCGTGATATGTCCCTTCTACTGTGGCTATGCCAAGGCACCACGGAACTCTACATCATAACCTGGTTTTTATGAAACAACTGAAATTGAGGCACAGCATGCAACTCATTGATATGACCCATAACCATGGATATAGTTGCTTACAGAGGTGAGATTACACAAACACTAATTCTACCCCGGATACAAACCTGACTAAACAGCTCCCCACCACCCACATGCCTTGGTCTGTTCAAGAGAATGTTTTCCGGATCAAGATATGAAAAGCATTTTGATATTTGATTTCTAAAGAGAAAAATAACCTTGTAGCAAATTCATTTTTTAAAAAAATAGAATTCAGATTCACATACATAAAATCTACCATGTAAAAGTGCATTGTTCATATATCTTAATGTATTCATTGTGCAACCATGACTACTATATGAATCAGAAGCTTCCCTATCTTCTCAAAGAGACCCTCCACCATGCCCATGACAGTTACTCCCAGCTCCTCCACCCCTATATTCTGGCAAATATGGATTTACTTTGTCTCATAGGATTTGCCTGTTATGAACATGTCATATGACAGAAGTCAAATCCTCTGTCACCCTTGTGTCTGGCTTCTATCCCTTGGGTTTAACTGTGTTGTAGCTGGTGTTGGGCATTCATTGTTTGGGGGAGAGGGCTTAATAATATTCTACTGGAGGTACTGGGATGTTTTTTTCCCTCCAAAATTGATGCTGAGATTTGGTTACCAATCTCACAGGATTGGTGAGACCTTGGAACTAGAATTCAGTCACTGAGAGAGATAAATGTAATTCTACAGCTTTGTACAAGGCGAGGCAGTCCCGTTGAGGTTTTCTTGTCTGCTTGGGCATCTCATCTGCAAGTTGAAGTAGCACAAAAACCAAGTAGATGCCATGCTTTTGGTATTCCCAGAACCCTGAGTCAGGATAAATCTCAGCTCTTTACAAATCACCTAGCCTTAGATCCTTTATTACAGCCATGGAAAATGGCTTAAGACAATGTGGTTATCCTGCCTTTTGTCTTTCCATTCATGGGTCAGTTGGATACTTGGACCAAATATGCCCTTTGATTCATGTAAATCATGTTACAATTGATCCTTTCGTTTCCTTAACCAGAATTGCTTACAAGGACAGCAGAAGCCTCTGGGAGCAGAGTGTTCTGTCCCTTATTATTGGCAGTACCAAGGCATGTGATCTTTATTTTCAAGATTTATTTTATATTTATTGGAAAGGCAGATATATACAGAGAGGAGGAGAGACAGAGGAAGAGCTTCTATCCACTGATTCACTCCCCAAGCAGCCACAATGGCTGAAGGTGAGCCAGTCCAAAGCTAGGACCCAGAGCCTCTTCCGGGTCTCCCACGTGGGACAGGGTCCCAAGGCTTTAAGCCATCCTTAACTGCTTTCCCCAGGCCACAAGCAGAGAGCCGGATGGAAAATGGGGCTGCCAGGATTAGAACTGGCACCCATATAGAATTCTGGCGCATTCAAGACGAGGACTTTAGCTGCTAGGCTACTATGCTGGGCCCAAAACATGTCATCTTAAAGCCTACCTTTAAGAGCTGTGTCTAGAGGACAGAAATGTTCTTTATTTTGTAAACTCAAGCATGCAGGCCAGAAAGAAAAACCCAGCTAGTTAGGAGAATAAAAATCCTAGAAAACCTTTCAGATTGTGCCAGGTGGCATTGTGACATGAGGGGTTGTGATTCTAGTCCTAGAACTTGTGATGCCACTGCAGAGAGCTTTCGAAACTCCTGTGAGTGGCTTCCCACACCCCACTGAAAAGCATGGCCTTCAAACTGCAAGTGACAAAGTGACATTTACTCAGTGATTGTCACAGGAAGCATTTGATGAAGTCATCCCACTGGCTACACTCCTAGACGTCCCTCAGGGATCCTAACAGCTCCTCAGAGAAAAGGAACAGGTGTCCCTGCTTGTCACAGCCAGTCTTAAGAGCATCTCTCTCTGTCCAAGTGTCCCTGGCACACAGCCAGCCCACTTTCGCAGTGAGGTGGGCTGTGATTGCTGCAACAGGAGGAACTAGCAACTTCCCTTTGAATCAAGAGAGAGCCCTAACTGGTGGTGCTGGGGCCACTTGGATGGTGTCGGAACAGCTCTGATGATCATTGTGTAAAGTGTTTAGTCTGTTGATAGGATGCAAAAGATGTTCCAAGATTTCTGTTTTCCCAAGGAAATTGAATCATGAAATCAGGATAAGAAATCATAGCCAATTTCTTCATTCCTGGAAATCTAAGGGGATAATAATTGCAAAAAGAAGAAATAAATGCATAAAAGGAATAAAACATACCTTACACATGACATGACATAATGTATATACATAGTGTCTGAAAGAACCTACATGATTATTTGTTAGAATAAATGAACTTGACAGAACTGTTGAATAAAAGGTCAATACAAAATAGTCAGTTTATATATTAACAAGTAGAAAGTGAAAAAATGTTAACAATACATTTACCATGATAGCAAAAAGCATGAAATATCTAAAGAACAGGGTGGAAGATCACTACCTGGAAAACTGCACTGTATTTTTTATGGAAATTTGAAAAGAACCCACATTGATGAAGAAACAGACTTTATATGTGGGTTGGAAGGTTTATCACCATGGTGATGTCAAAGTTCCCTGCAGTGATATGTGTGCCCATTTGAAATCTCAGCAGGGTTTTTTTTTGTTGTTTTTTTTTTTTTTGCCTCCAATTAACAGAGACAGTCTTCAATTTCTTTGAAAATGTGTTTGAGAGGTGGAGACAAAGAAAGGGAAATGGAAATACACAAAGAGCTTTTATCTGCTGGCTTATTTCCCAGATGACAGAGAGAGAGAGAGAGATGCTATCCACCAATTTATTTGCCAGATGCCCGGAGTGACCCCTAGCTGGAGCCAAAACTGGGTGCTGGACACCCAAAAGTTTGCCAGTGCGCTCTCCCTCTCCCCCAAAGTGAAACATAGAATAACATATGCCCAAGTAATCTCACCCTGGGTATTTACTCAAAAGAGCCAGTAGCAATAGGGGAAAGTAACCCACATGTCCTCAGACACATGGATAAACAAAGTGTGGAAAATGCATGCAACTTACTTGGCTTTAAAGCAACTTACTTGGCTTTAAAAAGCAATGAAGTATTGATTGGTACTATAACATGTATGAGCTTGAAGACATTATGCTCAGTGAAAGAAGCCAGGCATAAAAGGTCTGTATTGATTAACTTTCTCTTAAATGTCAAGATTCAGTGAATTCACAGAGATGTCATATAAACTAGTGGTGGCCAGGAGCTGAAAGGAATGGGAAATGGAGAGTGAATGCTGATGGGCTTGGATTCCCTTTTTTTTTTTTTCTTACTATGGCAAAATAAACCTAAATTTTAAATGGAAAGTAAGTGTTGGTGAAGATATTCGTGCATTACTAGTGGAAAAATAAAATAAAATAAAACTATAAAATGTATAGCTCCTGTGAATAAGTTTAGTGGCTCTCCAAAAGGGGAAACAGAATTACCATATGATCCAGCATATTTCCCAAAGAATTTAAAGCAAAGACATAAACAGTACTTGTACTCTAATGTTCATAGCAGCATTCTTCACAATAATAAAGATAGAAACAACCCAAATGTCCATCAGCAAATGAATGGGTAGAGGTAGGCATTTGACCTGCAGTTAAGATGACCCTGTCCCACATCCACAAATCTGGTTTCAATACCCAGCCCAGTCTCCTGACTCCAGTTTCCTCCTTGTGCAGACCTTGGAGGACAGTGGTGATGGCTCATGTAACAGGGCTCTTCTCAGTCACATGGGAAACCCAGATTCAAGTCCCACCCTTGTGGATATTTGAGGAATGAAGCAGTGGATAGGAGGTCTCTTTGTCCATCTCTCTATTTCTTAAAAAAAAAAAAAAAAAGAAGAAGAAGAAGAAAAGAAAAGAGAAAGAAGGAAAGTAATATCTAGTTCCAAGCTTCCTGTTTGTTCAATACAGGAAAGACTGAACAGGATGGAGGTTTAGACTGTGGGCCCTTCTTAAAGAGGAATCCCGGGGAGGTTCCTTTTTTGCACTTCTCTATTTGGGTCAACAGTGCCTTCAATGATTTCTATCCCTGAAACTGGGGCATTTGGCCCTTGTACCAAGACTATCTCTGGAAGGTCTTGCTCCTGAGAAATTTGTTCATCCTGACTTATTTTTCTCTCATTCTTTCTGTGTTGTTAGGTCTAGCTATTTCTGATTTCTGCTTTTGTGAATTAGAGATCATTTACTTTCTATTATTTTTAAACCAAAGCTTCTTTTTCTTTCTTTTTTTAAAATTTTTATTACAAAGGCAGATATACAGAGAGGAGGAGAGACAGAGAAGAAGATCTTCCGTCCGATGATTCACTCCCCAAGTGAGCGCAATGGCCAGTACTGCACTAGAAACTTCTTCTGGGTCTCCCACACGGGTGCAGGGTCCCAAAGCTTTGGGCCGTCCTCAACTGCTTTCCCAGGCCACAAGCAGGGAGCTGGATGGGAAGTGGAGCTACCGGGATTAGAACCGGCGCCCATATGGGATCCTGGCACGTTCAAGGCGAGGACTTTAGCTGCTAGGCCACAGGGCCGGGCCTGCTTCTTTTTCTTAATTTGAGCCATTTGTCTTTCATAATTTTTTAGCTAGCCCCATAGCTTAGAGTCTCCTTCCTGATCTTCCACTGAGGAACTCTTGTGAAATTATTGGAAATATTAATTCTTTGGCTCCTCATTTCTAGAGTCTAGGGAACATTTTTCAATAGCTGTGCCAGAGCTGCACCTGGTAAACAAGGCCTCGGTCCCAGGCTGGTGATCTAGATAACTAGCCCACTTTATCACCATGTTGACCCCTCAGCCTGATTTTGTATACAAGAGTTCAGTTTGCAATATTAATTTCTTTAATCATTAGTGAACTTAAATATGTTTTCTATGTTTGTTAGTTATTCATATCTCTTATATAGAATAATGTTTGGCCCAGATGTTGAGATTCCACATTTCACATTGTAGTGACACATCAGTTCCCACCTGCAGCTCCTGATTCCAGCTTCCCGCTGAAGCAGTTCATGGGAGGCAGCAGGTGATGGCTCAGACAGAGTGTATTCCCAGCTCCCTGCTTCAGCCTGGCAGAGCCTTAGTCATTATGGGCATCTGGGGAGACAATCAATGGATGTGCCTCTCAAATAAGTACATAAATAGTTCCTTTTAATAATTATTTTTTGCCGTGAGTTTTTTTTTTTTATTCATTTTCCTCAGAATTGAATCAGGATTTTAGTATAGTTCTTATCATGCTGTAAGCATGTTGTATGTTAAGGATAATAATCTGTGGCTGCCATATATGTTGTAAATATTCTTTTCCCCTTGAATTTTGTCATATGGTATATTAGGAAGGACACAGTTATTTCTGTGTAATATAAATACCGTTTCCTGAATACTTACGGTATGCTTGGCATTGATCAAGACTTTATGAATTGTCTTGTTTACTCTTTGCCTTATTCCCAGTAGAAAGCAGCATTTCCCCCGTGGAGTAGATAAGGAATTGAGGTTCAAGATCATATAATCAGTAACAAGTGAACTGGTGAAGGAACAAAGTCATATTTTGGTGCTGTGATCCACAATTTTGAAATTTGCTCATTTTGTCAGGAGAAGAGCTTTCCAGCCAGCCAAGGATATTGTATTTTGTAGTATTTTGAATGGCCATACAACTATTGTCAGAGCATCAGCATTGGTCATGTGTGTGATACAAATAAACATGAACATAAATCCTTTTCTACTTATATTACATAATAGTGAGAACTGGCCAGTTTAAATTATTCGGTTTTGCTTTGTTTTGTTTGCAAAACTAAAGTGCATGTTGGAATTAATCCTCTTTTTTTCTAGGAGAGATTCTTCATGCAGAAAGTTCAATTTGTTTAGATGATAATTTCATATTGAAACCAATTTGGGGCCAAATGCCACCACTGCCAAGTCTTATGTAACCAGGAGAAGCTGAGCGAGCAGCCAGCTGCCATATGTTGTGCGAGCTCAAGGCAGAGGATTGGGGCAGATGGTCCCCAGGAATGAATTGGCACTCTCAGAGTCTCCAGAATTTCATGTTAACAAGAGGTTATTACATGGGACACACTTAGAAAACATGCCCTTTCCCTTCCTCACTAGAGTGTTAATAAAATACATCTGAGAACAGTTCAGTGGAGTACTTTATAGAATGGTTTGGCTTTAGTGCTCTTTGGGATGAAGCCCTGAAGGATTCCCAGAGGAGAGAGCTGGGAGAAGTCCTGCAGAAGAGGACCCATGCGTGCCCCTGCAAAAGCCACTCACCACAGCATGCTGCTGTTTTTCTGCCTTTGTCTCTCCCACAGGTACTGGCGGAGGACTTTGGGCATGCAGGTGCGCTATGTTCACCATGAAGGCTACCAGTTCTGCTATTCCTTCCGGGGCAGGCCAGGGCACAAGCCTTCCATCCTCATGCTACACGGATTCTCTGCTCACAAGGATATGTGGCTCAGCGTGGTCAAGGTGCAGTGCTAGACCCGTCTCCCTCAGAGGAAAAGAATGTGTTTTCATCAGCAATGGTAGAGGGCTAAGTCAACCCAGAACCACACAGTTCAAGTCGTCTTAAAATGAACACAGTTTTTCCTTCAGATTCTGTTATCAAAATTGATGACTGTGTGGAAATTCTGTGTCTTAGGAACCTTTCTGCCTTTTGGAGATTTCTTATGCTTCCAACAGCTTCATCTCAGACTGCCATAATGACCAAGACCAGGCTTTTGAAAATCATTTGCTCTTTTGTACACCATGTTTCTTCTCCTCCTTTCCCTTTTCCTCCTTTCACTTCTTCCTTTCCTGTCCTCCCTTCCTTACTTCTATTTTTCCTTTTTCTTAGCCATGTAGAGAAATGGTCTTGATTTACCAGTTTTCCAGAAGAGTTTTCCAAGTTGTTTTTTGTTCTGGCTTCCTCGGTGTGGCTACCTGCTGTGCTAGATACAGTGGGGGGGGGGGTGCGGTTGGAATTGATGGAAATCTTGAGGGTGGGAAGCATCTCCAGCTCCCACCTAGAGCAGAACTATAGGTGAGGGGTCCCAAGTGCTGTCTGTAGCCCTAGGGGAAGGCTCACACCTGCCACACTATTCATAATCTCATTTCCAGATTTCACTACAAAGCCAGTCAGCATGATGCCTTAGGGAACCCCTTAACTCCTGTCCCCAGTTCACATGAGCATCTTACTGTAACCAGGTATTTGTACGTTGATAACAAAAGATATTTTTCAGCTTCCTGGCTAAAAGTGGTGCACCTCTAAATGGAAGAAGATGTTTTAGGATAATAAGTGTCTCCAGAATCACTGTTTAATACATTTAAAAGAAAATTGGTGCTGGAATCAAGGTGCTGAGACATGACTCTTGAGAGAAGTGCCCTTTGGGGTGGTAAAACACTGACTTGGAATAAGTGTGGAAGAAAGGGAAAAGGGGAGAAGGAGGCAGGCCTTCCTATCAGTGTCAGCAAAGAACAAGGGCCTTCTGCTTGCTACCCCAACTTTGTTCCCTCTTCCTGTCATCTCCTGGGACCCTTCCTTCTGTGTGTTTGTCTTTGGGAAATACTGCCCCCTGAAAGACTTGCAGCATTGTTTATTCACACCAGTAGGGTAAAACTGGGTGGTCCAGATCCAAACATCTACAGGGATGGTGGCCCAGGTCACTTGCTAAAGTAGGGAGGGAGAAGTCCCTCCTGAAAAGTGGGAAGACATCTCAGCAAGTGGCTGCATCCAGTAAGCCATCCATAAGCCAGGACCAAAAGTGATTTGGAATATGGTTTTAGAATACTGCAAAATCAAGTAGGGTTTACATCCCCATCCTGACTCTCTCTGGGTCTGTATTTCCTTAGTTCCTTCCAAAGAACTTGCACTTGATTTGTGTGGACATGCCAGGACATGAGGGAACAACTCGCTCCTCCCTGGATGACCTATCCATAGATGGACAAGTCAAGAGGATACATCAGGTAAGCAGAAGGTTCTACCAAAAATTGCCCAGTCTGCCACTTACCCATTATCATAACCTACCCACATCTGGAGAGCAAGCAAGAGAGTTCTGAGTGTACTGACTTGGGACCAGTCTCTAATGCATACTGTCTGCAAGTGATTGCAACACGATGAGCCCTTGGTCAGCTGTAGAGGACCACAACTTGTTAAAGATGTTCTCTTGTAAGCCCACTGCAGCTGTTGCAGAAATGCAATCAGGACATTTTCTAAGCTCTTTGAAAAAAAGAGTTCAGAATTTCTCTAGACCTTTACTCTTCCTGGGGGTCGGACTTTTCTGCTTTGCAGTTGTGTGGTAACAGCAGTGGCCCTTCTGCCCAGCTGGAGAGGGTTTCTTTTGCATCTTGTCCTACTTCAACATCTATTTCTAGCCCTCTTTGGTTGGGCTTTCAAGGTCATGAAGGCTCTCACATGATGTTAGGTGTAGTACCTGAATGAAGATATATATTTAATGTTTGCTTCCCCCATTAAAATATATATTTTCATGAAATCAGAAACCTTTTTGACTTTTTGCTATATCCTTAAGTTGTCCATAGTGTCTCATAATAGATGATCAAAAGCTACTTTTAGATGATGGATGGACAGGTGGATGTTTGGTTGAGTAGCTGGTTCAATGACTGGATGTATGGGTGAATGGATAGATGGATGGGTGGATGGACAGGAAGGTCTTTCAATTATGGAGGGTCTCAAATGATACCCCCCATAAGCTCTCTGTAACCTGTCACCTCTTTTTGTAGGCAGTATTTTAATAGAACACAACCAACTACTTAGATATTGTCTTACCTACCTTTGTGCTGAAACAGCAGATCTCATGGCCCACAAAGTAGACAATATTTGCTTTCTGGACCTTGGTAGAAAACTTTACTGACTCATTAATGGGAATAAGGGGGAATGCTTGTTGGCTTTATACTTTTCTATGATCTCTCAATCACTTATGCTAGGTAGATAGAAGTCTATATATATCACAGGGCTTGGCTGAGCAGTGGAGCCACTGGAGTTTCATGCCATCTCTGAGCCACAGCCATTTCTCATTGTCTATAGGAAATGCGAAGATTTTCTGTTCTGTAATCACTGTTGTCCTTTTCTTCAGCTGTGTAACCAAGGATCCTTCTCATTTCCCTTCCTAGTTTGTTGAATGCCTTAAGTTGAACAAAAAACCCTTCCACCTGGTAGGCACCTCCATGGGTGGCCATGTGGCTGGGGTGTATGCTGCTTACTACCCCTCGGATGTCGCCAGCCTATGTCTCGTGTGCCCTGCTGGTAAGTGATGATGCCAAAACATCCCGGGAGTGATTGGAACAAGTAGCCAAAGGTCTGCAATGACTGTTTTTTAAATTGTTTTAATGATAATTCTAACCAAACAGTGATTGTATAATAATAATCATAACCAGGCTGACTTTTATAATTTTGAACCAGCCTTGTACTCCAAAGAATTTGAAACAGTTAATTTACAATGTGTGTGGTGATTTGCAGCACATAAAAGCTTTAAAATATCATGTTACTATGCTAATATCCAACACTTATTGAGCTATGCTATTTATATGGATTTATTTCTCACAATAGCCCTATCAAGTGAAGGGACCACTATTATGCCTCTTTCCCTTTTTACTAAAAACTCAAAGATCAGATACTTTAAAAAATGTGACTTTGGTTTCTCCCTTGTTTTATATGTCACCTGAGCCAAACGTGTCTGCAGAAATTACCATCTGAAGTTGGATTTTTAAATTTGTTCTTCTTCCATAAATCTTCAAACTTGGATTTATAAGATGCAATAGCTACACATCTTAATTTCTCTTTCTTTCTTCTTACTGTCTCTTTGATACTAGATTGGCATATTGTTTGTACAATAATAAATTCAGGTACACAACTCAATGATTTCTTTTATATATGTAATTACCAAATCAAGACATTATGCTCATTTTATAGATGAGATAATGGAGATGCAAAAATTTCTATTTGTGAGAGGTGAAATAGGAGCCATTCCTACACACTTTAACTCCATCACTTACCTTGTGGTAGTTTGGGAAATCCTTTCTGATTTACCTTTTTCTATGTGATCCACAGAGAATACCATAAGATAAACATTTATTGGCTTAATTGGCTTTAAATATTCTTTTGCTACCTTGAGAGTTAATGGTTTTCAGGTCCATTAGGAACACTGAACTTGAAGACAAGCCCTCAAAGCACTTTTTCTTTCCTCTTTCCAAGCATCATGCATGAAATAGTTGTATCTTAATAAATTTCAGGCCTAGCACTGTGGCCTAGCAGCTAAAGTCCTCACGTTGAACGTGCCGAGATCCCATATGGGCACAGGTTCTAATCCCAGCAGCTCCACTTCCCATCCAGCTCGCTGCTTGTGGTCTGGGAAAGCAGTAGAGGACGGCCCAAAGCCTTTGGACCATGCACCTGCATGGGAGACCCAGAAGAAGCTCCTGACCCCTGGCTTCTGATCGGCTCAGCTGTGGCTGTTGCAGATACTTTGATACAGTCCATCACCCCCTCTGTTTATATGACTTTGCAATAAAAATAAATAAATCTTTAAAAAAAATAAAAATAGTAAGTTTCAAAATTGAAGGGGAAGCACCTGTGGAATGTAGTTCTGTTTAAATCACTAATGGAAGGTGAAAGCAAACTTTTTCAAGTGTGTGTCCATTGGCACAGATACAAATCTTAGAGCACATTCCATTTGGAAATGTAAGTTTCTATATAAAAATGAAAAAGTAGAAACAAATTTAGGATTATATCTTACCTAGGTTTTTGTTAATAAACATTTTCTCCAAAATATCTTGAATTGACAGAAAAGTTACACGGAGAGTCCCATACATGCTTTGCCCAGTTTCCCCATTGTTAGCACACTTGTCATAAGTCAGAACCAGGGCCCTGCAGCAGCAGCGTGTGGCCTAGCAGCTAAAGTCCTCGCCTTGAACATGCTGGGATCCCATATGGGCGCCGGCTCTAATCCTGGCAGCTCCACTTCCCATCCAGCTCCCTGCTTGTGGCCTGGGAAAGCAGTTGAGGACGGCCCAAAGCCTTGGGACCCTGCACCCGTGTGGGATACCCGAAAGAAGTTCCTGGCTCCTTGCTCCAGATTGGCATAGTATCGGCTGTTGCACTCACTTGGGGAGTGAATCACTGGATGGAAGATATTCCTCTCTATCTCTCCTCCTTTCTGTATATCTGACTTTGTAATAAAAATAAACAAATCTTAAGAGAAAAAGAGAGAGAGACAATGTCAAGAGGGTCCAGGCCAATGAGAAGGAAGAATTAGTCACACGAGCTCAATGCTTTCTATCAAGTCCTTTCAACAATACTCAGGCCAAGGGGGCTTGGGCTGGCTGCTTTCTACTGATGCTTCTTAAACCTCACCCTAGATATGATTCCTGGCAACTAATCAAAGTGTACATTTGGATTCCAGGGGCATGGGGCCTTTCTGGGCCTCCTGATGCTCCTGGCCCAAGGAGCTGAGTCGCTAGTCCCTAAAGTTATCTTGAAGGATTCTTCCCTGTGTTTCTCACAATGTGTTTTGACTTGAAGAAAAAAGGGTGGTATCTGTTAGAAAGGAAATGCAAAGTGACAGAAACCTAATATGTAGTGGCTCTAGGCTGCTGTTGAAAGTTCTCTGTGGAGCCCGGAGTGGTGGCGCAGTGGTTAAGGTCCTCGCCTTGCACGCCCGGGATCCCATATGGGCGCCGGTTCTAATCCCGGCAGCCCTGCTTCCCATCCAGCTCCCTGCCTGTGGCCCGGGAAAATCAGTCGAGGACAGCCCAAAGCTTTGGGACCCTGCACCCTTGTGGGAGACCCGGAAGAGGCTCCTGGCTTTGGATTGGCATAGCATCGGCCGTTGCATCAAGTGAGAGAGAGTCAGTACAAAGGCAGATGTACTGTCACGCCCTTTGGGTTTGAATCCTACAGGCCTGCAGTATTCGACTGATAATCAGTTTGTTCAGCGGCTTAAAGAGTTACAAGACTCAGCTGCCATGCAGAAGATCCCCCTGATCCCCTCTACCCCGGAAGAGATGAGTGAAATGCTCCAGCTCTGTTCTTACGTCCGCTTCAAGGTGCCCCAGCAGGTGAGGTGCCCTCTGCCCTGCGCTTAGCTGGTGAGTACCAGCTTCCTGCATGCATTCCCTCCTTCACTCAGGTAGCACCTATGCAGGGCCCCTGACATGTCAGGCACCCTGCTTGGTACAGTGGTGAATCAGCATGACAGGCAAGGACTGTCCAATGTTATCCCACATTGCATGGGTGCAGATAGTTGGTGTGCTTTGAGAGAATACAAGTGGGAAAGACAAGTAGTGCCGACTGTAGTGTGGGTTCCCAAGTTCTACTTTAAGAACAGCTTGGGGAAAAAAAAAAAAAAAGAACAGCTTGGCTGGATGTTGTGGGGGTCTCATCATATACAGGATGGGAACTGGAATCTTCCTAAGTGCACGAGGAGGATTCCCAAGGAGTATGGAGGAGCACAGAAACAAAGAGGCCTATTTGGAGATGGTGATGGGATGCACTGCAGCACAGCAGTGGAGACCAGAGAACTGAGATGAATTGGGTGAGGTGGCTTCTGGTGCTTGAGTACCTGGCTGGAAGATAAAGGTAGTATTTGCTGCTCAGGAGCAAGAGAGGAAGGGTGGCTTGGGGGACTAAAAGTTCTGTTTTGAATTGTTACATTCTAGAGGCTCAGGTGGAGGTGTCCAGTAGGCAGTGGGTATACACGTGGCACCCATGGAAGTTTGACTTAAGGCTAGATGGTTGGAGCCCTCAGTGGATGGTGATGTTGGAGGTCACAGGGTGACTCAGGTCATCCCAACAAGGGGGTGTGGGGGAGAAGCAGGAGAGTCTCCTTCTATGGTAGGAACTCGACCCTGCCTCAGGGTGGGGTGGGTCCACCCAGGTGAGAGGATGGGTTCTCTTGAGAGGTTGTGAGCGTGATTCAGTTAGGAGGGTGGCAGATATCCGAGGAAGCACCCAGAATCTGAATCTATAGGGGCTTGTATGCCTTTTAGTCCAGAACATGTGGCATTGTTCCCTTTCAGCACTGACTGGTTCCCAGATTAGAATAGTCCAGCAGTGTTCTAGCAAGCTCCAAGTTTTCAAGCATCAGGAATATGAAATGCTGAGGGAAAACAAATGGCAGCTACAAAAGCCCTTCCTGGGAGAGAATGAGCACCAGAATACTCACTGGCTCATGTCTTGTTGTGATTGTCCCTTTGCTTCTCTGTGTCTATCACACTGAGCTCCATTAAATCAGGGTTGGACCTTAACTGACTGTTCTGTTCCCAGATTGTAGCACAGTGCTTGCATGAAGTTGGTTCTAGCTATAGACTGGATAGAGAGATGAGGGAATACCTGGCTAATGCAGGCATGGAGAATGGATGGGTAAGTACGTGCAGGATAGAAGGATCCGTGAACTGATGCATATGCATGCGTAGGTGGTTTAGGGATGCAGGGGCAGTGCCTGACTGCTGGGTTGGCTAGACAGGAGGATGCCTGGGTAGTACAGGGATGGAGTATGGGGGATTGGCAAATGTAGAATAGCATAGATGCATGGTAGGCACAAACATATGATTCAGGGAAGCGAGATGTGTGAGTGGAGGGATGGGTTGATGAGTGGGTGGATGGGTGAGTGGATGAATGGATGAATGGAGCAAAAAAGGTGGAGGGTGGATGGGTGAAAGATAGGTTAATGCCTGGATGCAGGATGGCTTAGTGAACAAAGAACAGTATCTGATGCTGAGCTCCAGTTTGCTCAATAGATTGTCATTGGTCTCATCTCTCAGCTTCTACTTTGACTTACGAAATCTGAATTAAGGAGGCAAGATATTGTAGCACTGTGGGTTAAGCAGTGCTTGGGACAGCAGCAGCCCAGTTCAAGTCCCAGCTGTTCAGCTTCTGATTAGCTCCTTGCTAATGACCTAGGAAGCAGCAAATGATGATTCAATTACTGGAATCCCTGCCACCCCTGTGGGAGATCAGGATGGGGTTCTGGCTCCTGGCTTCATCCTGTCCCAACCCTGGCTGCTGTGGCCATTTGTGGGGACAAATCAACAAATGCAAGAGTTCTTGGTCTCTCTCTGTCACCTTGCCTTTCAGAAAAAAAAAAAAAAGACAACTGAGTTAAGGGGGGAAGACTGTGTTCCTTCTTTGGGTCAGAAGTCCAGGTCCAGCCCACCTGTCTGTCCACAGTGGCTGTAGCCCTCACCACGATGCACCAGGGAACAGAGATAATCATAAATGATAAGCAAAAGACTATGAAACCACTGCAGAATTTTATCAATTGTTTTAAAAATAAGTTATTTATTTATTTGTCTTTCTGTCTTTCTATCTCTTTGAAAGGCATTGTTGTAGAGAGAGAATAGGAGAGAGAATCTTCCGTCTTCTACTTCATTCCCCAAATTGCTATAATGACAGGAGCTGGGCCAGGCTGAAATCGGGAGTCAGGAGCCTCATCCAGGTCTGCACATGGGTGCAGGCACCCAAGCACTTGGGCCATCTTCTGCTGCTTTCCCACGCGCAAAAGTAGGAAGCTGGATATAAAGTGGAGCAGCCAAGATTCTAACTGGCACCCACTACATGTGAGCCTTAACTTGCAATACCACAATGGCCCAACTTATTTTTTTGTCTTCATTGCTTAAGAGGCCTATCTTCCCTAATCTACTTTGGAAGAAAAGACCACACTCTGATGCATTGGTTGTTACTGAATACTGACTTGACATTGGGCTCACTCTTTGTCTTAAATAGAGATTTTTTTTGAGGCAGGTCTTCCGTCAGGCCATCTCACTTGTCTCTTACATGCTCGGAGGGGACCTCTGGCTTCATAGCATTACCTACATTCTTTCTTAATTATAAAGGAAAACAGGAGCTTAGGAGCTACTCCCAGTTACTTTATAGCAATACCATGAGAATTTGGAGAATTAGGGGACCCTGAGAACCTGCATAGTGCAGTAAAGCCCTCCGTGGCTCCAGAGCTGGCAGAGGCTGCAGGAGGTGCATCTTGTCCTGCTCTCTGACTCTGGCTTTTTATTCTTAGATCCTGCAGGGCCTTGTCGATGTCCGCCTCCCTCACAACAACTTCTACCGAAAGTGTAAGTAGCCCTGCTTTCAACTTGGCACTTGCTACCATGGTATGCAGCGGCTGCCTTTTGTGTGTTAGCTCTCCAAGGTGTTGAATGTTTCCTCGGGCCCCAGAAGCCAGGAATTCAGTGCCCCACACCTGCTGCTTCCCCTGACCCGGGAGGTGGGGGGCGGGGACTCACAGGCACAGTTCGACCCACGCTCTCTTTGTTTTCCTTTTCCGGCAAGTATTTTTGGAAATCGTCAGTGAAAAATCCAGATACTCCCTGCACAAGAACATGGACAAGATCAAAGTCCCCACGCAGATCATCTGGGGAAAACAAGACCAGGTATGCAACCCTGCCCTGCAGAAAAATGTCCCTGAGGGAAAGCCAGAAGTCATCAGGAGGGGCTGTTGGAATTGCCCCATGCCTGACCGCAGGCGCATTGTTCTGGGAGTTCAGAGCAAGGACATTTGGTCTTTGAAAATGAAGAGCCATCGACAGTCATTCTGAAATACACTTTCACCAAAGCCATGTAGTCAGTCACATGGTACAAACAACTTCAAAGATTATCAAAAAGTTTATTAGGAAAACCTAGCCATTTTCACAGCCCTAATCCCAATGCCCCTAGCCTTGTAGTGCATAGCTTATTTATTTCTTATGTTGTTTATAGCAGAGGTTGGTGGGTGTTTTCTGTAAATGGCAAGATGGTAACCATGTCTGCTTTTAGGGTCTGTGTTTTCTGAGGTTCTTACCACATTTTTGGTGAATGTCCTGAAAACCCCTTGATCCTATGTGTGTGTGTGTGTGTGTGTGTGTGTGTGCGCACATATATATATGATACATGTGTAAGTTTTTCAGACACTATATACACTGTATGTAGCATCTGCACTGTATATTGTATATCTATATTTTAAAATATTTTTATTACAAACTCAGATATATTAGAGAGGAGGAAAGACAGAGAGGAAGATCCTCTGTCCAATGATTCACTCCCCAGAGACCGCAATGACCGGAGCCAAGCTGATCTGAAGCCAGGAGCCAGGAGTCAGGAGCTTCTCCAGGTTGCCCATGCGGGCACAGGGTCCCAAGTTCTTGGGCCGTCCTCGACTGCCCTCCCAGGCCTCAAGCATGGAACTGGATGGGAAATAGGGCTTCTGGGACCAGAACCGGCACCCACATAGGACCTCAGCGTGCCCAAGGGGAGGACCCCAGCCACTAGGCCACTGCACCGAGCCCTGTATATTGCATATTGCAACTGACTTCATATATGTAGGAGGTAGACTTTGTATATAGATGAAAATTGTATCATGGAAATGATTTCATATTAGTTCATAAAAATCTTTTTATTCTGCTTTTCAAAAATATTTTTTAAATGGTCTCAAGCTTAGGACAAAAGTTACGTGTGTAAGGGTCCTGCTGTGGTTCCTGAGGCCAGTGTATGTCATTGCATATGTAAGTTGTTTGCTCCTTTTCACTGATGTTATTCCCTGGTGTGTATGTGTCTCATTTTGTTAATAGTTTTTTAAAACTTTTAACATTTATCATTCCCATCGGTCTGTCTAGAAATGTATCTTTGGGACCATTTGGAGTACGCTGTTTGTTTATTTAAGAAAAGTCTTTTTGTGATTTCTTTGAAACGCAGAGTTAGAGAGGGAGAGAAAGTGAGAGGAAGAAAACCTTCCGTCCACTGTTAAGCCTCTTAGGTGGCAGTAATGGCGAATGCTGTGCCAGGTTAAACCCAGGAGCCAGGAGCTTCTCCAGGTCACCATGACACAGTGCTTCATGCTTTGTTTGTGATTCAGTTTTGTCGCTTGCTTCAGTTGTGTCTTTAGTACCTCCTGCCCTGTTGCCACCCTGACCCAGATCCGACCCAGGGCTACCTGCTACCTGCTAGTTCTCTCGCATCGTCTCCTCCCATAGGGAGAAACTCAAAAAGGATGGGCCAGTTGTTTTATAAAATGGTTATAGAATATGAACACACTATAAGAGTCAATTCTTAGATGTGGAATCACTGGGTCCATGGGCAGCTGCATGTACAGTGTTTACAGGCTGTGTCAGATAGCCCTGTATTAGCTGGATAGGTTCAAGCTTAATAAAATATGTTGACCTGGGTGGCTTAACAGGGATGCATTATCTCAAGGTTCTGTAGGCCAGGAATCCTGGGGCAAGGGGGTGGTTCCTTTGTGAAGGCTGTCACAGACTCTGCTCTGTGCCTCTCCCAGGGCCTCCATGTGGTACCAGCTGTCCTTGGCAAGCCTTGGCTTGTGGGCACATCCTCTGTTCCTTGTCTTCACCCTCATGTGGTGCTCTGCCTATGTGTGTATCTGTCTCTGGTTCCAGTGTTCCCTTTCTATAAGGCTGCCAATCAGATTGGAAGCAGGCCCCAGCTCATCATAACCAGCTACACCTGCAGTGCCTCCCTTTGCAAATTAGGCCGCTTTCTGAAGGACGGGGCTTCCACAGATAGATCTAGGGGATATCAGCCAACCCATAGCCAGTCCCCTCTAAGGCAAGTTCATATATAGCCCCAGGAGCTCCTCTCCTGATTGCAACTATTGTGTGGAAATCATGCCATACTGTCAGTTCTACTTGAAGCTTAAAGCAAGGAGGTGAAGAGAGATGCAGGCTTTCTAAGGCTTGTGCGGGCAACAGAACAACGGGGTTCATTAAAACATATCCAGGAGCTTTATGTTTTTGAAGATGGAGAGAAAAGGCTATTCTAGGGCAAGCTCTTCTGGTATGGGGAAGGTTCTCCAAAGCCTTGACCTCAGTCCATTTCCTGTTGCCACAATGAAAGACTAGAGGCTCATTTGGCTCACAGTTCTGGAGGCTGCGTTGGCCAGAGCATGACCTCTGCATCTGTGCAGCACCTGGTAAGGCTGTTCTCACTGCACGCGGTTGTGGTATGGCACAGAGACCAAGCAAATTGCCACACAGAACTCGATTCTGTAACTAAGCCACACTCACAGCAGTGAAAACACTCCTGTGATGGTGACATTAAGCCATTCACGAGGGCAGAGCTCTCATTAATCCATTCAGATCTCTAAGTAGCGAAAGCCTCCACAGGGAGCCCTGCCAGGGCTGATGAAAAGTAAGGCAGAAGGTCAGGTTGTGGTCACAAATGCTCATGGATGCCCAAGCAAAGAGAGATTGGGGGCAGGGAGGAGCCAGGAGTATGCCCAAGGCATGACAGGGGGTCAGGGCAGGTATCAGGTCAGCCAGGCATGGCCCAGAGTGCACAGTGCAGGGACATGGAGAGAAGCCAAGCTGCTGAAAGCAGATGTGTGTGTGCCTGAGCCACAGGTGGGACCTGGGCTCAGCCCAAGGAGAGCCATTGGCTAGTCACCAGAGGCAGCAGTGTGGCTCTTTTTCATCGTGCAAGTCCCAAGTGGACCTGAGGCTTCCAGCAGCCAGCAGAACAAGGCCATCCCCCACGGGCCTGTGGTGACAACGTGGGAGTGAGAGTTCAGGCCTTGGAGCCTGAAAGTCAGCGTCATGGCCCTGCCTGTGACCTTGAGTGAGTCAGTGGTCCCTGCAAGTGAGGCCTTCTGTCCTCCTGAATTACTGTGAGGCTCCACCTGAACAATATGGATGAAAGTGCCCTTTCTCCACTTGTCAAGGAACATGTGTTCTCTTCCTCCTCAAGTAGTAACTGACCCAGACTCTCCTGCAGGACTCTGAAATTTATTTGGTTCCAGAAGAAGAAAAAAAAAAAAGTCTAACACCCTAGGGCCTGCTGTAAATAGGATCTTTCCCTTTATGTGTTTTGCGCAAAGGCCAAATAGCACAGGCTACACAATGTCCTTTATTTCATGGTCTTCTGCTTCCACAGCTCCAGCTCTGATCCCGCCCTGTCCCAGCACCACCCCATACCAGGCTGTCTCCCTCCTCTTCTGATGCCTGAGACCCCTGCAGGGGGAACTGTGCACTGCCATCTGTATGAATGATGCCCCTTGGATTTAGGCAGTATACAGCTTACCCAGCTGGGCCTCTTGGCCCTTCCTCAGGTGATTTCATCACAGCCAGGCTTCTCTCTTCCACATTCAGTCCAGCAAATTGGGAGGGTCCTGTACAGGATACCTTTTCATGCTTTTTTTCGCCTGCTGAGACATACCCCATCTGCATTTCCTCTGAGTGTTTTTCTTTCTTTCTTTCTTTTTATTATTATTTAAAGATTTATTTATTTTTATTACAAAGTCAGATATACCGAGAGACAGAGACGAAGATCTTCCCTCCGATGAATCACTCCCTAAGTAAGTGCAACGGCCAGTGCTGTGCCAATCCGAAGCCAGGAACCAGGAACTTCCTCCGGGTCTCCCACAGGGGTGCAGGGTCCCAAGGCTTTGGGCCATTCTCGACTGCCCTCCCAGGCCACAAGCAGGGAGCTGGATGGGAAGTGGAGCAGACGGGATTAGAACTGGCACCCATATGGGATCTCGGCATGTTCAAGGCGAGGACTTTAGCCGCTAGGCCACACCGCCCTGCCCTCCTCTGAGTGTTTTTCTACCATAGTGGGTCTTTATTTCTGCTCATATCATTGCCATGGCATTCTTTGCTATGAGTTGAGTGACAAGGAACAGGGACACAGTGCCTTGCTGCCACTCAGCTCCCATTAGCTGTTCATTTCCCTTACCTGACGGAGCCATTCTGCCCACTGTGTGGAAATTCTTGGTTTTTGTAATCTGGATGACAGGAATACAGCTAAGCCAAAGCCAGCCCAACCCAGATGGTGCTTGAGTTCCTTGAGGGTTTGGGTATGCCATAAAGGGTGGAGGCTAAGCTGAAAGTCAAAGTGATTCTGCCAAGGGAGGAGGCCAGGGCAAACTGGAAGCTGCCCTAGCAGAACTGACTCTCAGCAACAGTGAGAGAGTTTGTGGGCAGTGGCAGCACAGGACAGATTCTGGCTCCCATTATAGAAAGTCCTCTGTTCTTCACTGGCCTCTGGGGCATCCCCAAAGGACCTTCAAAGAGACCCCTTCTTCCCAGTTCATGATAGCTAGCCTCCACTTTTTGCATCTTCCTCATGTGCCCTACTGCAACCACGGGCCAGCTCAGTCAGCTCTCCCTAACACAGCCCCACAGCCCCTCTTCTCCCCGCCCCCACCATGCCCCTGCCCACTGATACCCTGCCTGATCTCTGCACTTGTCATGACTCCCACCTTGTCTGCTCCCTTCTCTGAATTCCTTCCTCTTCACTCTCCCAGGACTCAGGAGCAGTGTCAACCCTCAACATCCCACTATGTTCCCTTGGCTCCCAGGTCCCCTGCCAATTGAGTCCCTGTCACACTGAGCTGTATTTGTCCTTTGTCCTGCTCAGCCTTTCCTCCAAGGCATAACCTCCTTGTTGGTGGGACTATGTGTTTTTCAGTATCACTGGAAGCTGCAGACTCAGATGGGAGGCATGCTGCTTGCTTCCTTCTGACAGTCACAAGCCCTGAGCTGAAGGGACGGGGTCCTGAATGTCAGAGCAGTGTCTGCTTACCAAACCTCATGCAGGTTCTGTCCACAGAGCCCTCCTGCTCATCTAGCTCTTTAGCCACCATCTCATTTTCTCTCTTGCCCTGCAGGTGCTCGATGTATCTGGGGCAGATGTGTTGGCCAAGTCTATTGCCAACTGCCAGGTGGAGCTTCTGGAAAACTGTGGGCACTCGGTGGTGATGGAGAGACCCAGGAAGACAGCCAAGCTCATGGTCGACTTTCTAGCTTCTGTGCACAACACAGATAATAACCAGAAGCTGGACTGAGGCCTGACTGCAGCCTGCGCTCTGCACACAGCACCTGCTCCTCCCACCCCAGCCTGACGTGGCCACCACTCTCAGGGATCCTGCCCCCAAGGTGGTCGGAGCGCCAGTGTCCCCAAGGACACCAGTCCTTGCTCCCTGGTGTCCAAGGTTCCACAAGAGCTTCAGAGCCACAAGGAAATCTCCAAGATCTTTTTCACAAAGCAGAAACCCACATGGAACAAAATCGGCAAGCCCAGCCATGAAATCTCCAGAGGAGTCTGCACGATAACAGCGCGGAGGAGCTTGTGCAAAGCAGCCGCCCTGGCCCCTAATCACAGAGGACGCTTTCTTTTGAGACATTCCTCATGGACTAAGGCTGGAGATACTTCTGTTGCTTCTGCTATATTCCCCTGCATGATCAGTGCCTTTGATAGGAAGGAGTGTTAGCCCCCATTCGCTGAACCCTCTTGTTTAGATCTTATTTAAGTTTTCCATAGAGGAGCCATCCATGAATGCAGCCCATTGGCCCCCGGGCGTGGGAGGACAAAGGCAAGCTGGGAAAAGGTTTAGTTTAGAGAGGCGTGAGACCAGTGTTGTTGCTCTAGGCACAGCCAGCGCAGCAGAGAACACAGGTGGGCCATGTGATGGCCACCCATGGATTGGGTATGTCGTGAATGAACCCAGAATAATCAGAGGGAAGAACCCCTGACCGGGCTAGCCTCCCCTGCATAATTTATTATTTTTAAAAATAGGATTAATAAAGCAATAATGTTCTAGACGTTCTATCTAATCAGACCTAAGTTCCCACATACAGTGACTTGTGGGCCTCTTTTGGATTTGGTTTTGCTATTGAACACCCTTGGATGTGAAATACCAGTTTGCTAATGGATTCTGTGAATTCTGTAAACAGTAACGTAATTGAAAAAAAAGTCTGAACAGCTGTGAAATTGACCACAGTGACATGAAATGTATTTAATTAACTCTGGAGCAGCAACCTGGTTTTCTATTCTGAGCTCCAAGTTTGAATGCAATGTTGGTGAATTTTCTGTTAACTTTAAAATGTGTCCTTTCAAGTCAGGTGATAGAAGCTTGCTTAGATGAGTGATGAATTTTGTTAGATGATGGCCACCGACCGCCCGCCCACTGGTGGAATAATATCGGCAAGTTGTTCAGAGTTGAGATGGAAACTTTATTGGAAAATCCGCTCCTGAGCCCCCTTTGCGCAGAGGGGAAGGAAGAGGGAAGCGAAAAGGGCATCTGAGATACGTGTGGAGGAGTTTTATACCCCTCTAGACACGTGGGAAGGTAAAGGGGCTGTCTGTGTCCCAACTATGCAAGGAATGTCCATTCAGGTGTGCCATTGGTCACCTGGAATCCCGCCAGGTAGGTGACGTAACTGGCTCCTGTGGCCCCTCCTCCTGTTCCAGGCTGGAGCCTAGGAGATGTCGGGGCGGGCCAGACCAGCCCCTAGTCTCCAGTGCCCTGTGCAGCCATCAAATTTCATCTTAAGAAATCATGTTCGCAGTCTTTGCTCAATTGAAAGCATCATCAGTTTACCCCTTTGACTTCTTTTCCGTTGTGTTTAGGAGCTGTGAACTCGCCAGGAGCTTCACTCTTTCAGATGTCCTTATGGGAAGTCTACGGGTAGCCAGATGGTTCTGAAAATAAAGTGACACAAACTTTATAGTTTAAATTGGCATTCAGGACCTGGCCTGAATAATTTATCGGAGAAGAGTGGAACATAGATCTTAAAAAGCAAGAAGATAAGAAAATGTGATATCAAACCGGGAGTGGGAGCTGCAGCTAAAGCAGCATGCAGAAGGAGAATCATAGGCCCGAATACAGTTATTAAGAATAGATTGAAACATCAACACATTACATTTCCATCTCAAGAAACTAGAAAAGGGAAATCAAAGGAAAATAGAACAAGTAATACAGATGAAAACAAAAACCAAATAGAACAGAAAAAAAAATAGTGGATATTAGATATTTCATTTGTTCCAATCTCCTGTGTTCACCAGAGAATTCTGAGCTTTGTGGGAGTGGGAGTCATTCTTGTTGGGGGCTTCCTTGGGATCACTGCCGAAGTCCTACCTCTGGGATTAGTGTCTCAGCTCAGAAGCCCTTCTGGTGCAGGACTTCTCATGCTCTGGGCTGACTCCCATCTCAGGATCACATCAAAGGAAGCCTGCTGCACAGCATCCATAGCAGGGTGAGTGGGCATGGTATGGTGGGCAGGTCTCACCTCTTCCTCTGCCTCCAGAAAGTACTACATGTCATGTTCTGCAGCCCTGTGATGTGGGTCTCCCAAGCTCTGTCTTCATGCTACAATTGTGGTCCCATAGGGAAGGACGCCGGTGCCCCACCTCCAGTCTCTGTGATGACAGTGAGCCAACTGGTGGCTGCCAACCAGAGGCAGCCTTGGACCACAGTCTTGGAAAGAAGAAAGGAGTTGTTCATCACTGTATGACTGCCAGAAACTCACACGGTAACCATGGAAAGCCCCAGGAACCACAGCTGGGCTCTTGATCTTACTGCCTGCAGGGTTGCTGGGATTGAACCCTGTCCCAGACAGGCACTGAAGAGGCTGAGGGATAAACCTTAGTTAGGACTCAGTTTGTCATCAGTCTGGGCTTCATGTCCAGGACCAGGATGACACCAGGAGTAACTGAGATGAGAGTCAAGCTGGATGTTATTACTGCCCACTCTATTGTACTGGTTTGCTGACACTGCCTGTTTTTGAGTCTGTGTCTTCCCTTTGAGCTAGGGAGTATTCTCCATCTTAGGGATACCTGATGCTCTATCAAGGGGAAGTTCCCAGAAAGCATGGAAGGACTGTAGTGTGTGTGTGTTTGTGTGTGTCCAGGCTGGCAGACTGAATTTTGCTGTGTCAGGTGTAATTCTTACGAAGCACTGTCTCAGTTCTGAGAGGTTTAAACAGCATCATCCTTTACAGAAAAGGAAACGGAGGTGCAGAGAAGTGTAAGTCTTGCTCAAGCTCACACAGCTAACAACTAGAGGGTAGTCAGCTCCGTAGTTTGTAATTGAAGGTGACAGTGAAAACCGTGTTTTCAGGGTGAGTTTAGCAGTTAAAACTGAGCAGCCCATATCCATGTTTTCACTAGGCACCCTGCAAGGATGCATGCCCACCCTCTGTGAGACAGAAGCTGCACACTCTTCCCCTGGGAACCTGTTGGACATTGGTTTGGTTCCCGGGTTACTGGCCAACTTCCGCATTGTGGATGACAGGCAGGGGGTCTGCCTCCTGTTTCCACCCGCCTGCCCTGGGGGTGGGTGTTCCACTGCAGAGTTCTTCCTGCCCGGACAGAAGACTGCACCAGGTGTATGTTGCGGTCTGCAGCGCCCTCTTGTGGCCGACTCTCAGTGGCTCGTCCTGTTTTTGTTGAAGAATTATTAGTGTTGTAAAACTCACATAGTGCTTGCCTGTGGAAGGCAGGGGAGACCTTTCATGAAGTAACCCTTTACATCACTTGAAATATACTTCGTAAGCTACCTATATATTTTGCAAATATATTTTGTAAGTGCCTATTTTAAATGTAAACTTTAAGCAGACAAAGCCACCGCCTAGAGCACCAGCATTCCATACAGGCACCGGTTCGAATGCTCCACTTCCGATCCAGCTTCTTGCTGATATGCCTGGGAAGGCAACCCATATGGGGAGACTGGAAATAAGCTCCTGGCTCCTGGCTTCAGCCCAGCCCAGCTCTGGCTGGTGCGGCTTTTTGGGGAGTGACCCAGTGAATGAAAGGCGTCTCTCTCTCTCTCTCTCTCTCTTTACCCCTCTATCTCTATTTCTCTCTCCTCACTCTGCCTTTCAAATAAATAAATGTTTTTAATGTGAACTTCAATTAAAATTCAAGTCAGTCATCCATATCTCTTTTAAATATTTTTTTAAAAGATTTATTTGTTTTTATTGGGAAAAGAGATTTACAGAGAGAAGGAGAGACAGAAAGATCTTTCATCTGCTGGTTCACTCCCCAAGTGACTGCAACAGCCAGAGCTGAGCTGATCCTTAGCCAGGAGCTTTTTCTGGGACTCCCACATGGGTACACTGGGCCATCCTTTGCCGCTTCCCCAGCCCATAACCAGGGAGCTGCTTGGGAAGTGGAATAGCCAGGACATGAACTGGCACCCAAATTCGGTGCTGACACTTGGAGGTGGAGGAATAGCTAGTTGAGCCATCCCCCCGTCTTTATCCTTCAAAGGGAATTGTTTTATCCTCAACTCCAGATTAACAAACTGCGTTGACCAAGAGAATTCAGGGGGCTGGGGAGGTTCTTGTGTTACTGGGAGCTCCGTCCCTGTCCCTGGTGCCAATCTAAATAAGGAGGACAGGGTGCTGAGGCCAGTGGTCTCGGGTGTCGGACCAAGGCTTGTCACCAGACCCATAGCACTGCATTCCTTCTCTGATCCATCATGGTGGTCCTTGAGGTTCATTGGGGGAGAGTACACCAAGCCTGACCAGGCCGCCCTACTCTGCACAAGGAGCTAGATCAGGGCCAGGGCAGCATGCACGTCAGGACACAGGCAGGCTGGAAGCCAGCAGCCTAGCGGGAAACCTCCACTTCCCAGCTTCCCACTAATCCAGGTGGTTCAAGTTGCCGGTGTTATCCCCAGGTATGCATCATTGCTAGGACTTGGTACAGGAGCATGAAAGTTACCCAGTTATTTGAATGCCCAAAACATGAGCTGCTGCTTCTCCCTTCTGCCTTTACTTAATTCATTACAAAAGGTAGACAAAGAGAGAGACAGACAAAAAACAGACTCTTCGGCTGATTCACTCCCCAAGTGCCCACAAAAGCCAGGGCTGGACCAGGCTATCAGGAGCCAAGAACTAATTCAATCTGGGTCTCCCACAGGAGTGGCAGGGACCCGAGCATTGGAACACACCTGTTGCCTCCCAGGGTGCATATGTGCAGGAAGCTGGAAGTGGAGGGGGAACCGAAGTCTGGAGACCCTGATAGGGGATACGGGAGCCCGAGCCATCTCAGCTTGTGCTGAGCTGTGCCAACACCTGTCCTGCAGCCCTGGCAGCGTGTGCTTGCCAGGCAGCTGGCAGACATGGATTCTCAGCCTGCATGTCTCCTGGATGGCTGAAACTTTACATCATCGACCTTACGACTCGGTGGGAGGGGTGCTACCTGGCTCTCCTTGTGACACATGTGGAAGCTAGTAGATGGCAAAGGGTGGTCAGGAAGCGAGCTGTGGCAGCTTCGGAAACTCAGAGAGCGAGGCTAAAGTTCAGAGACCAGCAGAGGGTGGAAATTTAACAGCAATGAGGGAGAAGATCCTGGCTGGCACGGGCTGAGGCTTGGCTGCCCCATACCCATCCCTCCTGACCCCCAAGTCCCGCAACGCTGCGGCATCCAATCGCACACCCACCTCTCTCAAGTGGGCGCCAGAGGGCGCTGCGCTCCGCGGGTCTCCCCTCCCAATCAGGATTCACGCCTGCAGCCTCGGGCGGACGCCGCGCGATGACGTCACCTCCCTGACGTCACGCCGCCGTGGGCGGCACAGGGAAAAAAAAAAGCCAAACGAAAACTTACCGGGAGTTTGCCCGGGGGGGGGTGGTGATATCGGAGGGCTTGGGACGCCGGCAGCCCGGTTGGGGCTCAGTCGGGCGGCAGCTGGAGCTGACCGGAGTCGGGGCAGAGCTGCTGCCCGTGCGACCCAGGGCAGGTAGGCGGAAGCCCGAGGGAGGACGGTGCGGCCGCGGCTGCGCACGCGCCGAGCCGGCCGAGCGGAGGTGCCCGGTGTCCTCCGGGCGGAGCTGCCCTCCCTCCGGCCGGCCCGGGAGCAGTGGAGTAGCAGTGCGCCGTCCGCAGTCGGGGGTTGCGTGGTGAGGCCCGCAGCGTCCCGCGAGGAAGCGTCGTGGTTCCCTGCCGGGGCGAGGGAAGAGAAGGGGAATCGCGTGTCTGCTACAGGTTGTCCGAGGCGGGGCCCGGGGGTCGTGGCGGTGTGAGGGGCGGTCACTGGGCCGCGCGGGGCCAGGCAGCAGGCGGGCGCCCCGGAGGGAGGGCCGCTCGGGTGCCCCGTGGGAGAGATTTGGCCCCTGGGCAGAGCCCGGCCTGGCTCTGGATTGAGCGGCAGGCGGTGTGGACATCCGAACAGAGCTGCAACACGGCCCGAGCAGATCTTCGCACTCCTAGGCTGCTGCGGACCATAGACTGGGGAGGGACGAAGTCGCTTTATTCCGAACCGAGCTGTTTAAAAGCTGGCTGTGCACAGTGACCACAGGTGGCACGAGGAGTGTGCCAGGCGCCTCTTTGAGTTCGGAACAGCCTGCCGGGGACACTGTCGCATAATGTAGGAGGTTAAACTTACTATTTGGTGAAGCCCATTCCCGCTGTTGGGCACTACGGCCGGTACCCTTCTCTGGCTTGCTCTTGAGGTTTTGATACTGACATCCAAGCGTTTGCACACGCTTCAGAGGCACCTGTCGTGTGCCAGGCACGCCGGGCAATAATAGATGAGACTTCTGCCATTTTGGAAGGGGGGACCTGGGACAGGTAACAGTGCCGGCCTGAAGATGAAGAGCCCGCGCGTTCCAAGGAGTCCCACCTTTGCTTCGCTGGCGCTGTTCTCTCTGCTGAGTGTTCTGCACGTGCTGCCAGGAGTGCATGAGGCCCCCGCAGTCCCGCTGCTGTCCTCTGGGGGTCCTCATCGGCAAGCGGACCTGAACCCCGGAGGCTTTGTAAATGCTGGTCACATCTGTGACCCCAGAGGAGCCCCTTTCTTTGGTTGGGCCTCCATGTCCCGGTCCGCACCATGGGGAGCTCCCTGTGAAGGCGCAGAAGCTGAAGCCTGTGGAGTGCTTAGCACAGAACTGGGTGCTCAGTAAAGAGAAACAGGAGCCAACACTATTTCCGAGTATTTAGAAATGGTTTGACCAGGGCCTGGCGCAGTAGCCTGGTAGCTGAAGTCCTCGCCTTCATGTGCTGGGATTCCATACGGGCGCCAGTTCTAATCCCAGAGGCCCTGCTTCCTGTCCAGCTCCCTGCCTGTGGCCTGGGAAAGCAGTCGAGGACAGCCCAATGCTTTGGGACCCTGCACCTGCATGGGAGACCTAGAGGAGATTCCTGGCTTCGAATCAACTCAACTCTGGCTGTTGCAGCCCGTTTGGGGAGTGAATCATTGGATGGAAGATCTTCCTTTCTGTCTCTCCTCCTCTTTGTATATCTGCCTTTCCAATAAAAAATAAAATAAATCTTAAAAAAAAATAGTTGGACCAGAGTTAGGTAAGTTACTGCACTAAAATAAGCCATGTTCTTAGTAAAAATATGAGAAATGGCATTTTTACTTATATGTATATTTTTTTATTTGAAGGCAGTCAGGTTGCTAATACATCTCTTGGTTCATTCTGCCAAATGGTGGCAACATCCCGGGCTGGGCTGAGCTGGGCTGCACTGAAGCAAGGAGCCAGGAACTCAGTCCGGATCTCCCCTGTGGGTGGCAGGGGCCCAGGCACGGGGTCACCTTCTGCCACTCTGCCAGGTGCGTTAGCAGGGAGCTGGATCAGAAGCAGTGCTGCACGGACTTAGGCTGGTATTGCAGATGGGAGCTTAGTCCGCTGTGCCACAGTGCAGCCTTGACAGCATCTGTCTGGACTTACTGCAGGTGTGTGTATTCAGCGTTGGAAAGGATGCCAGCCCCAGAGACCACTTATGAAAGAGTCGTGTACAAAAATCCCTCCGAGTACCACTACATGAAAGTCTGCCTGTAAGTTCAGTCTCCTCAGTTTTGTTTTAAATTAATTTTTTAATGGACCTGGGTGGTACACAATTTGATATGACTTCACTTTTTTTTAATCCTTTTTTAATGTTTCTTGCAGAGAATTTCAGGAACGCGGAGTTGGACTGAATGCCGCGCAGTTCAAACAGCTGCTGGTCTCAGCCCTGAAGGACTTGTTTGGGGAGGTAGGAGTCACCTGGGGTGGTGGACAGCCTAACCTTCCTTTGCTAGAAACACAGAAAGAATGCTTTCCGAATGTTATCATTTTTAAAGTATTTACTTACTTTGTTGGAAAGACACATATACCGAGAGGAGGAGAGACAAAGATCTTTCTGCTGGTTCACTCCCCAAGCAACAGCTGGAGCTGTGCCCAGGAGCCTCTTCCGGGTCTCCCATGCAGGTACAGGGTCCCAAGGCATAGGGCTGTCCTCCACTGCTTTCCCAGGTCACAAGCAGGGAGCTGGACAGGGAGCAGCCGGGACATGAACCAGCACCATATGGGATCCTTGTGTGTGCAAGGCAAGCATTTAGCTACTGAGCGATCGCATGAGCTATCACAGGCCCTCTCGCTGTTATTGTAAAACTGGGTTGGAGATCACAGAAGCTGACTTAACGGAAACCGTGATTTTGGGGCATATTTTTTCTAATGTGCCTTCTATTTGACAAGGACCTTGTTGGACAAATGGCGTTCTGGCTCAGTAATTCTCACAGGTATGGTTCCACCTGAGAATTGGCAAGCCTTTAGGGGTTTGGTTTTGTTGTTCCCATCTTGAAGATGTGGAACCAGCATAACTTCCTCTGGATGAGAAAGTATGAATGAATGAAGCAGTGAGTCAGTGCTGTTGATTGGCACAGCCGTGCTGCCGAAGGGTTCATCAGTTTCTGTAAAGTACTGGACATGTATCTGCCGTACAGTACAGACTTAGCACCTTTGGCATTTGTCCTAGTGAAACTTGGTGCACGAAAACCTGTACGCAGACGTTCATAGCACCTTTATTTGTAATAGCCAAAGGCTGGACACACCTTCGGTGTCTTTGAGTATATGAATTGATGAACTATGGCACATTCATAGTTATGCCATGAAATATATTCACGAATGGCAGGGGAGGGGGAGGAATCAGCTATTGATGCACTACTTGAATTTCCAGAGCATGAGGCTGAGTGAAAAAAAACTGAGTCCTGGAAGATTATATGCCCTTGAAATAACACCATTATATGCTCTGAATTAGGGGTGGGAGAAGCCAGGATGTGACTACAAAGGGGTTGGAATAAGGAATTATTTGGTGGAATTATTTGTCTTAATTGTAATCATAGTTCCATGAATCTACCTCTGTGATCAAGTGACATAGAAGTGTACACAGCTAACAAATACAAGTATGTGTATAACTGGGGCTCTCTGAATGAAGTGTGGCTTGTACCAATACCATTTTCCTGGGTTTGAAACTCCTGTGGTCATGTAAGACATTGACATCGAGGCAGATGGAGTGAAGGACGCATGGAGCCTCTTTGTAATCTGTGACGCCTGTACTTTTTCTAAATCGTTCTATTTAAAGAATTATTTATTATTTGAAAGAGTTACAGAGAGAGAGTGAGATATCATTCATCCACTGGTTCACTCTCCAGATGGCCACAATGGCTGAGTTGGGCAAGTCTGAAGCCAGGAGCCAGGAGCATCTTCCATGTCTCTTGCATGTGCAGAAACCTGAGGACTTGAGCCATCCTTTGCTGCTTTCCCAAGCACATTAGCAGGGAGCTGGATCGGAAATGGAGTGGCCAAACTCAAACATGTGCCCTTGTGGAGTGTGGCGCTGGCTCATCTAAATTATTATTTAAAGCTCTGTGCACCTTTTGTCAGGTCTAAAACTTGAGGACTAGATCTGCATTTATAAAGTCACGGGACCTCGCCTTGTGGACTGATGGTAATGGTTCTGAAATAAGAAAATGGGTCAGACAGCAGCAATGAGAATAATGAAGGCGGAAGAATGGTGTCAGTAGGGGGAAGATTGTAGGAGGGCAGTGTGACCCTAGAAGGTCAGTGAGCACAGGATTACAGTTGATTGGATAATATTTGCATGAGAACAACTGAATGGCTACCTTTTGTATACCTGATTGGATATCATTTGTATAAGAACAGTTGAGTGGACAGCATGTGAATGAAAACACTTGGTGGAATATACAAAACAAAATGAGTTCCAAACAAAAGTATAGAAACAGTTGATGGGGTTTGTTGATAGGCTCAATACTTTCTCCCTTATCCTATATGACCCTGATGGTATAAAGTCTGATGCTACTGACCATCAGTCAGAGTCCACGCGTGTTATTTTTGGCTCCCTGCACCAAGTCCATCACTGCCTCAGCCCATAAGAGGAGCATGCTAGGAAGCATGCTGTAACACGACGGTGCAGTTCCAGCACCATTGAACAGAGTGCTGCTTTTCCAGAGGTGGCTCAGGTCCCTGGGCTCCTGCCGCACGTGTGGGAAACCTGGAAGAAGCTCCTGCCGTCAGCCTGGACCAGCCCTGGCTGTTGCAGTCATCTAGGAGCCGAACCAGTAGATGGAAGATTTTCTGTCTTCCTCTCTCCTCCTCCCCTCCTTCCCCTGTATCTTTGGCTTTCAAAAAAATAAATCTTAAATAAACAAATAAATAATACTGCTTTTTGTGGAGGAGCAAAGCTCAGAGTGGACAAGTTTAACCACTAGAGCGTAAGAGTAACCATGGTGCCAGTGTGCTAATAGCACCATCTCCCGCGTAGGTCGGTGCGGCCTCGCCCGTGGATGTCCTAACCTATGAAGAAAAGACCTTGCTGGCTGTCTTGAGAGTGCGTAGCAGGTACGGGGCTGGGGGGCAGCATTCCTAGTACAGCACAGCTAATGGGAAATAGAGCAGACACCCTCTTCTGATAGTGAGAACTTCGTTGCAAGTTCTGAACAACTTCCAGGAGTTTAAATTGGGGTTAAAATGAATATTCGTTGAGCAGGTGCCAATACTGTGGAGAGATGGAATGTGTGATATGGTTGTAGGATTGTAGGGTTGCCAGTGGCTGGGTTGACAGCAGAATCAGAAAGGGATGTTTTAGGAACAGTGCTACCAGAGGTTCATGTGTTGTTACCTGGGATATAGTATGCCTCTGTTCTTGGGGTTGGTGGAGTTATTTAGTTAGTTAAGTAGGGTTTTGTTTAGCCACTTCAGGGACTACCAGAAGTGGAAGTATTGGGGAAATGTTGTGGGGTCAAATGTTGGTTTCCATGTTCTTGATCTCTCTGCAGTGATCTTGTAAAACTGTGGAGCTCTTTGACCATGTTGGGATCCTATAGAAGCAGGAAGTGTGCCTTTCGCGTGATGCAGGTAAACGCCGTGCCCTCACATGCCCCAGCCTAGACTGGTGGCCAGCAGGTGCTCAGGGGGTATAAGGTCACTTCTGCAGGGTTAGAGAAAAATGAATGTAAAGTTAAGTTTGTTTTGGTGCAAAAACCTTTTGAAATCCATGCCTAGTTTGTTCGTAATCATTTCCCTCAGCCTTTTTTTTTTTTTTTTCAAGATTTATTTACTTATATTGGAAAGGTAGATTTACAGAAAGAGAGACAGAAATATCTTCTGTCAGCTGATTTACTTCCCAGGTGGCTGCAACAGCCACAGCTGAGCTGATTTGGAGCCAGGAGCTCCTTCCAGGTCTCCCGTGTGGGTGCAGGGTCCCAAGGATTTGGGCCGTCCTCAACTGCTTTTCCAGGCCACAAGCAAGGAGCTGGATGGGAAGTGGAGCAGCTAGGACACAAAAGAGCACCCATATGGGATCCCAGCACGAGAAGGGGGAAGGTTAGCCAATTGAGCCACTGTTCTGGTCCCTCCCTCTGACTTTCTGAAGTGCCTGCATCTTCCTCAGTCTTGTGCTTGAACAGATCTGGGATGGTTAGCATTATCTAGCACAAAATAAGCAAGGAAGACTTCAGCAATTGAGAAAACAACAGGCAAAGTCCTTCAATTTTAGATTATAGGGGACAGGTTTGGGGATAAAACTTGGACTCTTGTGACAAAGGTTTCATGTCTCCTTTCATGCTAATGCCTGGCGTGCCGTCTCTGAGCTTATCAGTGCCTGTGTAGCTCACGCTGCCCCCAGGATGCTCTGGAAGTGCCCTTTCTCTGCTGTGTTTACCCTACAAGTGTTCTCAGGATGCTATGTTAACCCTTCCTCTGTCTTGCAGGTTTCTCCATTTCTGCTGGCCTTATCTGGTAATAGTAGGGAGCTAGTATTGGACTGAACTGTCAAGTGCAAACACTTTTCTTCCCACCTCCAAATATTCTTCGTTGCCTGCCGTTTGTCTAAAGACAGAAGCGAGCCAAGAGCACCTTTGGATGAGATTTGAAGGTGCTGAAGATGTTCCCACTAGCCTGCAGCCCTCGCCTTTGGCGGGGTAGGCTCCAGCTGAGGGTCTGCCTGAGTCGGCCAGGGCTGCCCAGGCAGCACCAGGAGTACATGCACGTCCGAGTTGGAGACCGAGCTGAACTGAGCAGGGTGTTCACACAGAGGGACGTGGCTGCCTTCTCAGCGTTAACAGGGGACGTCAACCCTCTGCACATCAACGAAGACTTTGCAAAGCACACCAAGTTCGGGAAGCCCATTGTGCATGGGGTTTTAATCACTGGACTCATCTCAGCGCTCCTGGGCACAAAGATGCCAGGGCCTGGCTGCGTGTTTCTTTCCCAGGAAATTAGCTTTCCAGCGCCTTTATATATTGGAGAAGTTGTATTAGCTTCTGCAGAAGTGAAAAAGCTGAAGCAATTCCTTGCTGTCATTGCAGTGACATGCTGTGTCCTAGAAAGTAAAAAGACCGTTATGGAAGGCCAGGTGAAAGTCATGGTCCCAGGAGCCCTCAGGTCCTGAAGGAGGTATGTAAAGGGGCACGGCCAAGCACCAGTGCTGCTGTGACGAGAGTGCCAGGCGAAGCAGGGTTGTCTCTTCCCCTGCCGGGGATGGCTTGTTAGGTGAGGGTGTTCAAACGAGCACTTCCCAGCTTGGCCTTCCCAGCTTGGCCATAAGTGTCCTGAATTTCATTCTTGGGTTTGCCTCTGTTGACACCAATGAGCCCTATGTATCCAGTGGAAATTGTTCACAGATTCTGCAGCTGGCATGTACGAAGCGAAGGTGGGTCATTCTTGAGTACTTGCTCTTTACCAGTAAATAACTCCTCGATCCTGTTCTTCAACTCTTTCTGGGTTAGAGTTTGTAATTGTACACCGGTTGCCCCAAAGTGACATCCTGTTCAACCTTCAGCGGGACTTGCTTTTCAGGTTTCCTGTTACTGGGAGAGGGTTTTACGCTCAGGCTTGGGCTCAGCCGTGGAAGCTTGGTCTCAGGTGGGAAGTGACAGGAATGCATTCCTTGTGGGGTTAACGTTGGAGATGATGGAGGCCGAGGGGTAGACACAGGGCTCACCTGTGGACCGCGGCTGCTCTCGCCCCATCTCCCCGGGTTTGAGATCAGGAATGGTGTGAGTTGAAGTTTGCCCTGCCTGCAGTTGAATATACAATGGAAGTCTTCGAGGGCGCTCATCTCTGCTGCTGCTCTAGGATACTCTATGCGAAGATATTTTTAGGAGTCCAAATTCTTTTCACCCTTGAAAATGTGCCCCCACTGTCTGTGACAGAAATACATGCTTATTGTTCCCCAAAGCAAATAATTGAGCAAATAGCATAAGGAAGACGATAGAGGCCAAATTCTTAAAGTGTTTGGGGACACTGAAGGGAAAGCATGCCTGAATCCAGTGACACTTTGAAGAGGAGAACCTACGGCAACTGTGCCTCCATTCCACTTCAGACATAAGTTCTGGCCACGGCTGGCATTTTAAGATCAAACGTGGGCCCGGTGTAGTAGCGTAGTGGCTAAAGTCCTCACTTTGCATGCACCAGGATCCCATATGAGCACCAGTTCGTGTCCAGGCAGCCCCACTTCCCATCCAACACCCTGTTTGGGGCCTAGGAAAGCAGTCGAGGATGACCCAAACCTTGGGACCCTGCACCCAATGTGGGCGATCTGGAAGAAGCTTCTGGCTTCAGAAGGGCGCAGCTCTGAGTGATTCAGCTGATGGAAGATCTGGATCTATTCTTCCTCCTCTCTGTATATTTGACTTTAAAAAAAAGAAAAAGAAGATTAAATGTCACTGGTTGACATCACATTTCCTGGGAATGCGGATTTTCCTTCTGCTGGTGGTTAATGGAGCTTTTTTTCTTTAATGAAAAGTAAAGCTGTTAAATGGGTTACTAGAAATAACCATTCTGGGCACTAGAGGGCAGTGATGCATACAAAATGAGTGCATGAAGACTGACTAGAGTTCCATAGTCCAGTCTGTGAAGGTAAGAAGAAAATATCAGGTCTATGTGAAAGAGTAGGGCTGCTTCTGTTTTGCAGTGCGTGGCAGGTACAAGCTAAGGCCCAGCTACACAACACTTAACTGCAGGCAAACTGCTAGTTGTGTCTTCTTTTTTTATTTTTTTAGTTTTTTTTTAAAGGTTCTTATTGGAAAGATTTTTTTTTTTTTAAGATTTGTTTATTTTTATTGGAAAGGCAGATACACAGACAGAAGGAAAGACAGAGAGGAAATTCTCTGTGCAACAGTTCACTCCCCAGGCAACCGTAACATCTGAAACTGCGCCAGTCTGAAGCCAGGAGCCCAAACCTCTTCCGGGTCTCCCACGCGGGTGCAGGGTCCCAAGGCTTTGGGCCGTCCTCGACTGCTTTCCCAGGCCACAAGCAGGGAGCTGGATGGGAAACAGAGCCGCCAGGATCGGCGCCCACATGGGATCCTGGCGCATTCAAAATGAGGACCTTAGCCGCTATGCTATTGCGTCAGGCTCTGGAAAGAAATTTTACAGAGAGACAGAAAGATAAATCTTCCACCTGGTGGTTCACTCCCCACATGGCTGCAACAACTGGAGCTGAGCTGCTCAGGAGCCAGAAACTTCTTCTAGGACTCTCACACATGCAGTGTTACAAGGCATTAGGCTGTACTGTGCTGCTTTCCCAGGCCAAAAGCAGGGAGCTGGATGGGAAGTGAAACAGCCAGGACACGAACCAGCACCCATATGGGATCCTGGCGCTTGCAGGCAGAGGACTAGCCAGTTCAGCCAGTGCACTAACCCCTGTACCAAGATTTGTTACAGTTCAAAACAAGATGGGGAGCTTGAGGCCGATTGCTTGCTCCTGTGGAACTCATCCCTCGGGGTTCTGCGGGCATCTTCAAAGCAGGTCCACAGTGGAGTATGACGACCAATCCAATGGCTGACAGTCATCAGCATCCTGTGAGCATATGTTAAGCCTTGAAATAACTCCATGAGTTAATGTCCTGTTGCATAGGCATGGAGTTATGATGATGTGTGACTCGCCCAAGATAGTGCCCCTAATATGCAGTTGAGTTGGGGTTCAAATAACAGGGTTTCCCCACTCCCAGCTTTAGAATCATTGTTCTGCCATCACCCTGTGAGTCATACAAAGTTTCCATTATGGGATGCGGCACAATGGCTCAATTCATTAATCCTTGCCTTTCAAGTTCCAGGATCCCATATGGGTGCTAGTTCATGTCCTGGCTGTTCCACTTCCCTTCCAGCTCCCTGCATGTGGCCTGGGAAAACAGCAGAGGATGGTCTAAAACCTTGGGACCCTGCACCATGTGGTGGACCCGGAAGAAGCTCCCAGCTCCTGGCTTTTGATGGGTTCAGCTCCACCTGTTGTGATCACTTAGAGGATGAACCAGCAGATGTTGGTCTCTCTGTAAAATCTGCAAAAAGGAAAAAAAAATAATTAAATGCCTCCTAGGAGTCAGGGTATTTAATCTCTGTAAGGCAATAGAAGTGGAAATCAAGAAACAGGCAAGAAGTTCCGGATGTATCTGGGTTCTAGGTGATTTTCATTTTCACTCGGAGCTGCGAGTCTCAAAGCACTCGGGCTTTGTCAGAGTCAGTTCTGAGCAAAAGCCAGGTGACCCTTTCATTGTGACAGAAAACGAACGACTGTCTCCTGATGAAAGCCTGGGTGGTCTTCAACTTCGGAAGATCTCTTCCAAGACAACGGAGATGTGCTACTGACGTGGTACGGTGCGGAAGTGAATACACCACGATGACTGAAACATCGGGCCCAGTGCGCTGGCACGCTCCACACAGGGGCTTGCTAAGACGGCAGTTTTGTGATGTTTGATTGCCACAGAGAGGAAAACTTATCTTAAGCAATTTCAGCCTAATGTACCGGAAAATTGTTTAACAGATTTTTATAATAATCGATTAGAAACATTTCCACCTCTGTGAAATGCCCTTAGTTTTTTGTTGTTGTTGTTTTTTGCAAGAGCAAACCTTGAGTGGCACCCGAAGAAACCGTCCCCCATGGTCAGTTTGTCTTAAGAGCTCGACTTGCGCATTCATCTAGAAAAAAAAAAAAGAGTTGCTAAAATGCACACCAATGCCTCTTAGGTAACCACAGAAATTCATTTTGTGCTGAATTATTAGTCATTTTCCTTTGTGTTCTTTAGAGTATGATTCACAGACCAATTTACTGCCCTGGAAAATTGCTGCTAAATTACCTCTATTACGTTTCTAGACGCAAACATGTTCTAGCAAGGGCCGAGTGTCACTGAGACAGCGTGCCATTGTGAATGTCTGCCTGCCTATTGGCATAGTCTGTTAACTACCTTGATGTGAGCGGAGCAGAGGCTCCACTGAAGGTCTCGGGGTCCCTGCATGAATACTCGCCCCAAGGTCCCTGACATTCCACGCCTTAGCTGTTCTGCCCTCCCTGGGGTATCAAATACAGCAGAGACGCATGGTTTCAGCACCTGCATAGATAAATTTTGAGTTGGAGCAAAAATCACCTGCTAGAAGAAACCCAAAACTAAGTGTTTACATAAATAAGAAAAAGATTTCATAGGAGGCTCCAAAAACAATGTATTTCCAAGGGTGACTGATTTAGAAAGCAGTTGCAGTAATCTTTATCAGCCCTGGGAGGAATTCCCCTGTGAGGTAATAGAAAGAATCCACCGGTAAGGAAAATAAGAATGTGGGCTGAATTTTGATGATTTTTACTTGCAGGTCATGAATCTTTAAAGAAATAATCTTTCTCACTTGGGAGGCCACACTGCTTGGGAGACACTTCTTCGCATGCTTCTAGGATTGGCTGCCAGAGCAGTTGCCAGGCCTCGAAAGTCCTCACTGAAACTCATTATCTTCATAAGTCTTGCCAAACAGTGAGTTGTTAGATAAACAACCTGTCAGCCATCTAAATACTTGGCCAGCAGAGACCATATGAATTTTTTCTGCTAGCCCTGAGTATTTGTGTCGCCAAGACTGAGGTTCCTACATTCCTCATTAGCTTTATCCAGCCAGATACAGAAAGTTGATTTGACTTAGAACAGCATTGGCCTTGGGAGGGTTTTTGCACATCCGACCTGACCCTGTGCCTTGGCCAAATGGGAGACAGGAGGTGTGGCATAGCAGCATTTACCGCCACGTTGACATGTGGGCATCTCATGGTGGAATATCCCATTTGAGTACCAGGCTCTGTATGCCCGATCCAGCCTCCTGCTATTGTACCAGGAGGCAGATGGCCCAACTACTTGGGTTCCTGCCAGACTATGGGATGTCTCAGTGGAATTCCTGGCTCCAGACTTTAGCCTGTCCTAGCCCCAGCTGTAGGCCTTTAGGGGAGTGAACCAGCAGATGGCAGGTGTCTGTCTGTCCCTCTCTTTCTCTGCCCTTCCTTCAAATGACAAACGCAGAGACTTGCTTCCGCTTCAGCCCAATGGCTGTGTTGAGGCTTTCCTGCAGTTTGGGGCTTCATTCCTAGGAGAACCTTGGAGCCCGTGAAGTACAGGATCCTCAGGGGATCTGAAACTTGCCAGCAGTATTTATTGTAAAAGGCCTTCTAGGAAAAATTTCCCGAGAAAGGGGAAGACTAGATTGAGATTATTTCGTGTTTCATTCCATCAGAAAAACCTGTCTCACTTCCTCCGTAAGCGGGGTGGAGTGGTGATTTTATGACCTTTGCGACTCAGCTTCCCCTTCAGCTCTGTATCAATTCTCTTTCCTTCCAGAAAGCAAACAAGTGAACAACTTATCTCTCTCCACGTGGTTCCGCGTTAGAGTGCCAGTGCCAGATTGAGTTCTGGGCCCCTTCCTTTTGGCCTGGCACGGCCTTGGCTGTTGTGGGCCTTTGGGGAATGACCCTACCATGCCACAGATACATCGCTCTGTGTCTGCATTTCAAGTAAATTTTAACAGTCCAAAGAGTGGAGGCTTTCATCATCTCTGTTTTGTAGATGAGGAAGCTAAAACAGGCCAGAACCCAAGAAGTGCCCTTAGAACTTGGGACCTCAACTTCCACCACACTCTCCAGCTTCCTCTTCAGTTTACAAAGGCAGCTTCCCGGGTGCCTGCCTTTGTCCCAGCCCGGCTCCCAATTCCAGTTCCCTTCACCCTGGAGGAAGCACGTGATGGCTTAAGAACTTGGATCCCTGTCAGTCCATTGAGGGAGGCCCCGATGGTTTCAGTCAGCTGGCTTTGGTATGGCTCATACTTGTCTGTTGTGGGCATTTAAGGAGTGAACCAGCAAAGGGAGTATCTGTCTCTTCCTCTCTCTAGCCCTTTCAGAACAAAAAAATTTTTTTAAGGTTTTTTTTTAAATTTTTTTAACTGTTTGGTATGTTTCCTCCCAATGTTTGTCCCATAATCTGTTAGAATCACAACAATATATTAACAGCTTTTCCCAGCATCTCAAATGTTGAAAACCCAATTCTTAGCTTTGTAAAACAACAACAGCAGCAGCAGCAGCAGCAAGACACTTCCTGATTGTGTTAGAATCTGTCTAATCCTTTACTATTAGACCCCTGCCTTTGCACACCATTCTGAGCGGGTGTCTGATATCTGTCTCACTTCTCCCAGCCGGGGGCCTTCCTGAAGCAGAACTACTGAATTACAAAGCTGCTGATTTGCACTGTTGAGCTCCAGCACACAGCACCAAGCCCGTTACATTGCAGGCGCTCCATCCACACAATAGTAGTCTTGACTCGGCCCACATCAGATGAAAGTAGTGATGAAAGCAGGATTCTGATTTCTGGGCAATGAAAGAATCCATTTTTCTTAAAGAAGTGGAAGTGAAAAGCTGACGCCTCCTTAAATAGCATTTGCTTGGTTGCTCCTGAACACGTTGGCATGCAAATGGGCTGTGAGAACAGCCCTGGCTCTTGGGGCCCGCTCATGAGGTGCCATTCTTTTGTTCACCTCTCCTGCAATCAGGTCTCGGCCCTTGAAGCCAGGCGGCCATGGCCATTTGGCTACTTTGGGGTTGCCCAACAGCCCCATGAAGCCTGCAGTCTGCAGAGGGGACGCTATGGATGCAACCTCGGCCTTATACCAGAGTTGTGATGATCATGGGAATGTGGAAACAAAGAGAAAGCTTCAAATATTTGCTGAGCTTTCGTATGCCCACCCCATTTCCATCCCACCGCATCCCCTGTTTTGCACAGGGGACAGCCGGGGTGCAGGTTAACTCGTTCAGGATCACACAGTAGGTAATACCAGAGGCCTGTAGCCCTTGGTCAGGACTGCAAGCTTAACCCTCTCCACCATCCTGGCACGCTGTGCCGATAGGAAGGCACAGTTGGTGGAGTGGTTGAAAATTCTGGGACTTGCAGACCTGGGGCTGGGCAGAGAGCGGACTAGTTCTTAGGATATGGAGTTCTTAGAGGTTGGGTTTGCAGGCCCCAAGGCCTCCAATTGTGGGTCCTGATTCTGTCGGTCCAACTTTTAGGTTTTTGGGCCTGAGAAGCCACTTTTAGCGACTCAGAAGACCTGAATATGAGGGTTTTTTTTTTTTTTAACTCTTGATCCAGGCATGGTAGCCTAGCAACTAAAGCCCTTTCCTTGCACACACTGGGATCCCATGTGGGCACAGGTTCTGATCCCAGAGGATCTGCGTCCCAGCCAGCTCTCTGCTTGTGGCCTGAGAAAGCAGAAGAGGATGGCCCAAAGGCCTTGGGACCCTGCACCGAAGTGGGAGACCTGGAAGAGGCTCCTGGCTCCTGGCTTTGGATCAGCGCAGCTCTGGTGCAGCTCCGGCCATTGTGATCACCTGGGGAGTGAATCAGCAGATGGAAGGTTTTCCTGTCCCTGTATTTCTGCCTTTCCAATAAAAAATAAAAATAAATCTTTAAAAAAAAAGGAAAGCCTTAAGATCTAGAGAGTTCAGACTGTGTCAGTTCTCATGTTATTATGTTGAGACTCGGGATCCTTGAACCCGGGACGTGGGGCCCAGGGGAGAGCTTCAGTTCTAAGGTTTCCAACTATTCTAGTCCCAGAGTGTAAGACCCCCCGATTCTAAAATCCCCCGATTCTTATACGCTTTGGTATGGGAATCTCTGGGTCTAATGGTGCTTGGGCATGATTTGTCCAGTCTCCGGATCCCTGGTGGTGCTGACTCAGGCTGCAGCGTTTCCCGAGGAGTCAGAGCCCAGTACGCCAAGAGTTGCCCGGCGGGTCTGCCGCGCGCCCAGGAGGATCGGGGAGGTTCGATCTCCGGGCAAGGACACCGTGCGACTCGCCGTGCAGCTGAACGTCCTACGCACGGTGCAGGCAGAGTCCCGTCGGGCGGCTCGGCGCTAGGACCGCGCGGGCAGCGGCTGCCGCCGGTGTTGACAGTGAGGGCGGCGCTAGGACCGCGCGGGCCGGCCGGGCGAGCGGCGGCGGCGCGTGGGGCGGCGCGTGTTGACAGCGGCGGCGGGAGTCGGCGCCTCGGGTTCCTTCCCCGCGCGTCCTGAGGCGGCGGCGGCGGCCGGGCGTCCTCCCCGGGATGGCCTTCATGGAGAAGCCGCCGGCCGGCAAGGTGCTGCTGGACGACACGGTGCCGCTGACAGCAGCCATCGAGGCGAGCCAGAGCCTGCAGTCCCACACGGTGCGCGGCGGGGCAGGCGGGCGGCCCGCGGTCGGGCAGCGGGGAAGGGGCTGGGTGGTCCCCGGCCCCGGAGGTGTCTGGGTGGCTGCGGCTCGCGGTCGGCCCTCGCCCGGCCAGGGAGGAAGCTGAGGAGGGGCGCGGCGGTGGCCTGGGGGAGCTGTGGGATTCCCGGGCCCACCCTGCGCTCGGCTTCGGGAGTCGTGGTTCAGGGACCGCTCAGGACCGAGTCTCGTCCACTTGCGCCAGCCCCAGCCTTCTCTTCGGGCCCCTGGAGGGGTCGGTCCCTTTACAGCTCCCCCTCTCTCCCTTTCCCCTCGGTAGAGAGGCTTGAGAGGGTGTGGAACAGATTGAAGTAGAACTTTAAGAGACTACTTGTGGGGACAGCAGGGGCCAGAGTGGCCCGGGGCGTGCAGCCCCCTTTTCCAGGTCAGCTGCTTGCTCTTGGTCCCAGGAAATGACCAGGGATTCCTTTGAGGCAGAATGTACGACTCTGCTGCGTCCCTTCTCCTCTCCCCAGCTCCCCACGGTTGCAGTGGTAGTATGGGTTTAAGTTTCGATTCCCCTGAAGTAAGAGGGCTTCGTGGTAGGTACAGGTGGAGTTCATTTCGGGTACACGCTCGGTCTTGATGGAGCTTTAAAATGATGCGTGTTTTTATTGGCCTCTACCTCCTTTTCTTTTTTCTTTTCTCGCTTTTACAAGCTGTAAACCCGGGGCAAGCAGTAAAACCCCTTGGCGCTGCCAGCCAGGGCACATTGGGAAGCGCTGAATGGGAGCCGGCGGATTCCTGGAATTGTGATGTTCAGCTCCCCCCCTCCCCAAGCTCGCCATTTCACAGGCTTGTTTGTTCACAAGGCAGGGTGTTTGGGGGTTCATCATCTGGCGGCGCAGGCCCCACAATAGCCTTCTGTTTGTCTTTTTTTGTTCAAGTTCTTCTGCTGTTCAAAGAGACCTTTTCTTCTCCGGTAGTAAAGTGGGACTTTTTTGAACCCCAGTTTCCTCTTCCGAAAGCCACGCTTTGTGGGGCTTGTCTTGTTTTTACAGTGTGCATTTCCAGCTGGGAAAATAATTGTCTCTCTCTTTTTAAAGTGCGTTTTGTTTCATTCTGTTTAATCCTATTCTTGAGACAAGTGAGAGAGAGAGCACCTATAGGGCAGAATTTGTGGAGGACGTGTGGGTGAAGGGTTAATGTTTAGGGGACCGAGACTGGGCTCTTTCTGCTGGTGAATTAGATCGTTGACTGTTGGCTAGGGAACCTTGAAACTTTCTGAGGCTGCAGGTGAGTCCTTTAGGTTTATTTTGTATTGAAAGTAAGGAGATAGATGCTTATCAGTATTCACAGACCACTTGTTCCAGGAAGTGCCTCAGTCCATGTGCCTATCCGGCATCTTCCCCTTTGATCATCTTATTCTGTAATTAGTTCTTTCTACAGAAGATTTACTTTATTTGAAAGGCAAAGTGACAGAAGTCTTCTATTCACTGGTTCACTCCCAGGATGGCAGCAATAGCCAGGGCTGGGCTAGCCTGAGGTCAGGAGCCAAGAACTTCGGGGTGTCATCCCACAGGGGAGGTGGGGCTCTGAAGCACTTGAGCCATTCTCTGCTCCGGGTGCCCTCCCTTCCTGGCACGGGAGCAGGAACCCGAATCAGGAGCAGAGCCAGTCAGGACCCCAGCCAGATCCAGTGTGGGATGCCAGCATCACAAGCCCCAGCTTAGCCTACTGTGCCGAATGCCTAGCGCTGCAATTCCTTGTTTCCTTTTCCTCTCCCCTAGCCTGTGAGAGGAGGGGCACTGCTAGTTGTCTTTTGGGGTCCAGGCCCTGGTGTCTTGATAGGATTTCATGTGTGTGTGTTGAATTGATAAATGAGCCACTACCTGGAGTGTCCTCTTTGTATGTAAAATGGCACCTGTGAGATTTGGAGCACCATGGCCTCTGAGGTGCTAACTGAGGCGTCAGTTCATCAGCAAGGAGGTAAAAGGTCCCACGAGGATCCAGATATTACTTCTGGGCAATTCTTTCAGAAATGAAATCATCTGGGGTAGAAAATGGCAGTTCTTACCATGATGACTGAACACAAAAGACAGTAATGACTCACAGGAGACCCATAGAGGCAGATGTGGTGGAATAAAAAGTGTAGCATTGTCTTGCATAAGCTCTTTGACTGGTCTGTATTCTTGTCATGTTAGCTGTAAAGTTTGGGAAATGTTGCATCAGCTCTGCATTTTATTGAGGAAATCACATGCTGCCAGTGTCTTAGGAGTCAGTCAGGCTGTGCCTTTTGTGAGGAAGCTGGAAGATGCCATTCCAGCAGCTTGTCAGCAGGAGGGAGCCTGCGCCTGGAGGTCAGAGGTCTGCCTCCCTTGGAAACACAGACTCGCTCAGATGCTGCTCCTGGGCTGTGCAAAGACAGAGTTAGCATGCTGAAGCAGACTCAGAAAAGGTAAGACCTCAGACAGTACAGCCCTGGGCTGACACTCGCTAGTCATGTGACCAGTTGGCTGTGCAAGTCCCTCAGCCTTCTTTTTGATGATCGGTTTTGTCAGCTGTACCTGGAAATAATAAATGCAGGCCCAGCTTGCCTCCTGGGGTTCTTAGGAAAATCCAGTGAATTCATCTTTATGATGTCCTTGTCAAGTGCGTCCCTCTTTTTCCCACACTTCACTCCCCGACGGTACAGATACACAGGACTAGACACGTGGAAGTGTGTTGTTGAAAATAAGCCTGCCTCTGTCCGTGGCTTCTGTCATCTGTTGGGTCGGGTGGGAAAGAGAATGGATAGCCAAACAGTTAAGGTTATATCTGATTTGGTTTTATGAGTTTAGACTGAGGAGTGAGTGAAGGGAGATCTGTGGCTTGGAAAATACACGTGCCAGAAGGGTGACGGGAACTCGGGGTCACTGGCAGAAAGGCAGGCAGTGTTTGCAGGAGCGCCTGGCAGAAAGGACGCGTGTTGGTGTGTGCTTCAGTGCCTGACTGTGGCTTGGGTCATATCATTTTCATTTGGTTGGGGCACAGCACAATGAATTGAACTTTCAGGAAACAAGACCAGGCCTCTGTTGCAAGGAACTGAAGCTTCCATAAAACTAATGCTTTAGGGTCTTGATGCTCCCAGCAGGGGGTCGGGAGAAGAGGGAGGATTTTCCAAAGGGAACCTTGGATTAAAAAAAAAGAAAAAGCCACACAGGTGAGTTAGGGCCAGGTTTGAGAGGACTGAGAGAAGACAAAAGGAGAACTTGTTGGATACCTGAGGAAGGGAGAAATTCACAGACCCGAAGCTGGTTATCTGGATGAAACTTGATTTTTGGAGAGGGCTGGTCCACATTCATCTCCAAGCTCCGCGGGTGGGCGTGCTGCGGCGTGATCCGTTTAATCTCCACCTTACTTTTTCACTAGGGTTTTTTGAGGTTCCTGTTATTCAGGGTCCAGTTAACCTGCCTTGAATGTGTTTTGTTCTTGAGAAACACAAGATGATTTTAGTGATATTTGAGGCATGTATAACCACATCTTAAAAAAAAAAAACCTGGGGAAATTCTTTCCTGAAAATGGATCTGTCCTAGAACTTCTGATTTTTTGAAACTGCATTCCTGCACGGTTTGTTTATTCCACAACATTCATACATTCAACCAGAATGTCTTGACTGCCTGCCCTGTGTCAGACACGCACTAGAGACAGGACCACGAGCAAGACAGCCCTTACTATGTGGAGTTTTTGTTCACTAGGATTCTGAGGTCTTGAGTTTTCTAAGATGTATGCAAGTTACCCACGACCTTGACCTGCCGTCCAGGTGGACCTGGAGTTCTTCTGTGGTCTTTGGTTTATTGAGCATCAGTGACCTCCTTTTATTGTCTTTAAAACTGTTCTTATGTCATCCAAATACCTATTTAGCTTTGGTCTCAATCAAGGTGATATCATTGCCTTCAGAACCTGAGAAACCATTTTTAAAAAAGATTTTATTTATTTATATACAAAGTCAGATATACAGAGAGGAGGGGAGACAGAGAGGAAGATCTTCCATCCGATGATTCACCCCCCAAGTGAGCGCAACGGCTGATGCTATGCCGATCCGAAGCCAGGATCCAGGAACTTCTTCCGGGTCTCCCATACAGGTGCAGGGTCCCAAGGCTTTGGGCCACTCTAGACTGTTTTCCCAGGCCACAAGCAGGGAGCTGGATGAGAAGCAGGTCCTCCGGGATTAGAAAGATTAGAAACAGTACCCAGGGCCCAGCGCGGTGGCGCAAGTGGTTAAAGGTCCTCGCCTTGCACGCCCGGGATCCCATATGGGCGCCGGTTCTAATCCCGGCAGCCCCGCTTCCCTTCCAGCTCCCTGCCTGTGGCCTGGGAAAGCAGTCGAGGACGGCCCAAAGCTTTGGGACCCTGCACCCGCGTGGGAGACCCGGAAGAGGCTCCTGGCTTTGGATCGGCATAGTATCGGCCCGTTGCGCTCACTTGGGGAGTGAATCATGGGACGGAAGATCTTCCTCTCTGTCTCTCCTCTCTGTATATCTGCCTTTCCAATGAAAAAATAATAAAAAAAATAAATCTTTAAAAAAAAAAAAGAAACAGTACCCGTATGGGATCCCGGTGCATGCAAGGCGAGGACTTTATCCACTCGGCTACTGCACTGGGCCCTGCGCACAGCAGCTTAACCCTTCATGCCGTAATAGTGGCTCCTGAACATTTTTATGAACTTATTATTTGAGAGGCAGACATAGGGAGACGAAAGTCCCATCTAGTGGCTCACTGAAAAAATGTTTAGTTTTCTTAGTCCTGGGGTTGGGAGCCAGGAACTCAGTTCAGGTCTCCTCTATGGGTGGCAGGAGTCCAGTTAGCATACCTTCCCCCCAGGTTACAGTCAGGAACAGGGCTGGACATTTTGCCCAGGCGTTCTGACATAAGAGATGGGCATCTATTTCTCTCTCTCTCTCTTTTTAAACTAAAAGATATTATTGCTTTTATTTGAAAGGCAGAGTTACAGAGAGAAGGGGAGAGAGAAAGAGAGAG